AACTTTTTACAGAGACTGTCGCGCGACAACAACCTTAATGCTACATTATGTACATTGGTATAAAAATCATTTGTATTGGAAATAAATAGTTTAAAATCATGGGAATTGTTTTATTTAATGATATTTTCCAGGGACAAGACTTTTCGCAAAGTAAAATGAAAATTTTACTTGTGCAAGAACAATTTGTTAATGGATTATTATCAACATTCATGGTAAAATTATTGTTTAAGCTGAATTTATGTCATTTTGCAGAAAGCTTATTCAATTTATTCAGTTTTTTTTTATCAACTCTGGCCTTAATCATAATAAAATGAAGAGTGAAAATGAAAATTAAAAACTCATTTAAACGCTAATTCTTGGGAATCGTTAACTCATGGGTTCTCTACCGATAATAATTAAAGTCTCGTCTTTTTTCTTTGATTATCGGTCGAATTATTGATATTTTCACGGGTTTCCGTGTAATCTGCACCCGGAGGAAATGGATAATAACCAGAATATTAATAATAGAAAAATTAACAGATGTATCAATTTTCTAATAATGTCATTAGTATCTAATAGTTTCTAATAGTGTGTTGGGACATAATCTATTCATCACTCAGTCCCTCACTCCCTAGATGATCCAGTTGAATTTATCAGTAGATAATGTACTCAGGGCTGAGCTGGAGAAAATCGAGAAAGATCTCATGAGGATAGTGCTTGTCCGAAATGCACTCGTCATAAACGGCTCTCATACCCTTACGCTATCCGCGTTAAAACTTATCATTCTGCCTCAATATTATTATCTCACTCCATCATGGTCATCGTTTGTTAAATAAAAGCAAGACGTAATGTCATGTCCAACTTACGCAAAACTAGAATTTTAGGCTCTTCCCCTAATTTTCCACTCTCTTTTTCAAGAATTTTTCTCGGCGTACATCTCATTCATCTTATCAAAATTAACTGGTCAGTTTCATCATCACTGTTGTAGGGTAGGTACCACCTGATTGATGAACTGATTTATAATTAAGAGAATTACATTGAAACTCGAAACATTGAGCAAATTCTAGTCTTTATTTTTTACATAAGCTGTGTTTTTTTATGGGATAAGATAACTTATATGCTTCACGATAGACACGTGGAAGCCATTTTGGATGTCATGTGAATTTTATGTTTATTTTATAAAAACTATTCTTATATTACTTCCCTATTCGTATTAGGTTTGTTGGATTGCTCACATAGCTGTATATATTCCGCCAGTGCTTCGACGACAGTATTTAGTTCTTGAGTCTAATCAGAACTTGACATTCGGTGTAAAAAAAAATCCGAGATGGAGACCTCTGCAACTTTTGTCGTTCTCATTTGTGCCTTGGTGTCTTCTCTGATTGAGGCGAATTCCAACTACGATGGCACATTTAAGTACTGTAAGAAAACTGGCCCGACCTCCGAAATCTGCAAGCCCTGGGATTCGTCAGCCGTCGTGGAGATTGAAACGGAAGATGTATATGAGGAGGGAATTCCCACTTTGAACCTGTATTTCAAGGAGGATAGTTTCCAAAAATTCAGGAAGTTGAATTTAACAGAAGGGGCATACAAGCGCTTCAACATTTCAACTTCTCTTGTATTTGATGGTGTCAACATTGACGGAGCATCGGGCCCTTTTATCAATCAGGATAAAGTCAAGGCCATAAGCCTCATGAACAACGGTCTTCAAGAATTTCCTCGAGATTTCTTCAGAGGTATTTCGAATCTGATATACGTTCATGTATCCCACCAATATTTTCCGACATTATCCAAACATATGTTCTCTGAGATTTCGAATAACATATTGACTCTCCGCTTGATGCACAATTCTGTGACGAATATCGAAGCGGAAGCTTTTTCAAACTTCCGTAAACTGAAAAATCTGATGTTGTCGAATAATGAGTTAACAGAGCTACAACCTAATATGTTCATTGGTCTCGACAGTTTGCTAGCTCTTGATTTGGATAGAAATAAAATAATCACCATACAACCTGGAACTTTTGGAAGCCTATTGAAACTGCGTTGGTTGTTTTTGAGAGACAATCTATTTGAATCTCTACCCGATGACATTTTCACAGGTCTTGGTTTACAATTACTGAGCTTTTCCGGAAATTGGACCGAGCATAGGTGTCAGTCTCTTTTCGAGCATCTCGATCAACTGCGCTTGGGAACTTGCGGACATATAATCATTAGAAAACATAAAAGTGCAATGAGATTGTGAATGTTGAGGCTTGTTAAAGAAATGGTAAATTCAAACTAGATATGATCATGATAGCGCTACATCATGTGTATTCGGATAAAAATAATTGATATTGGCAATAAACAGTGTAAAACAACTGGAATTAAAAAGAGTAACTAAATCACTTTATTTTATCCCTGCTACTATTTTATATGGAGTGGGTAAAATATCTCTTTCCATCTCCATTAACGAAAAATATATTTAAAAAAATAGACAAAATCGGACACCTCCATGTGTCTTCAATTCATAGAGAAAATATCAAAAATATATACACATTTTATTAATTTTTCGTAAATTTACCAATTATGCGATAAAAGTACTCCCAGAAATCTGGAGCTCTCAGAAAAGAAAGAGAATAAAATAATTGTGGAGGAGTTTTCGGAGGGCTAAATGAGAGCTACCAAAAAGATCATTACAAAAAAACTTCACTTCATTGAATTAATTATCGAGCTTTCCAAATTCACCTCGACAATATCTACTGTCACCACATTTGCACATGTCGCCAAACCAGAGAAAGCCTTGATGTTGAACGGCATTAATCCTATCTTTATAAGAAACAACTTTTAATAATAAATGTCAAGGGAAGCGTTGTGATGTCCCTATAAGGAATCATTTCATGTACACTAGTCTGAAGGCGAAAACATCAAGGGCGATCACTTTTTCGTTTATAATAGCGAAGTGGTTTAGTGAGAATTCAACATACTTCTCAATTAAGGGTTTATCCTACAAACTATTGATTTCTGATCAAAAAATCTCTCTTTATACGAAATTTCATCCCCTACATAAAACATCTGATTTTACCTGCAATAAATAATTTTTAAGATTAATGGATAATTAAAAAAAATATTAAATCCCCTTATCTCACTCTACCACGCCATTACGATTACTGAAAAACAATAATAACTGCCAGTAAACAAATATTTCACGTGCTGTTATATTCTCTGATCTTCATGTGCAAATTATGTTGTACCAACGAGAAATAATGATTCAGGGGCAGGAAGCATTAATTTAAAGTGGCTCTACCCTCGCGGAAAGCAATACAACGCTTTTAAATATTTTTAGCTTTTGAATTTTCTAAAGCCATGAGGGCAAACCTTGAATTTTTCCATCTATGGAAGAGCAACTTTTTTCAATCACTCGTATTAGACATGGTCATTGCTGCAATTGACGAAATGAGGACGATGGAAATTTAAGTAACAACGTCACGTGTTTCTTTTGTGTATATAAATACGTGGCACGCATCAGTGGAAACCAGGAGATATCAACTGCTTCCAGGGTTCTCCAATTACAATATGCACTAGATAACAAGGACGATCTAACTCCTGCTTGACTAGTAACTTTTCCATTATTTTGACGCTCATTAACAGGGCTTACCTCATCAATTAACAGTCGACTAATCCCAGTGGGAGATGCTGACATTAACCAGTTCCGTCTCAGTTCTGTCTCCAGTTCATCTTCTCCAGTGTTCGTTTCTCTAAAACCAACACTCATAAATCCAGCAAATTTTCTGGAGAACTAATAACGTCACAATCATAAGAGTTGTGTGATTTAATTTCACTCTGGAATTATTCTTCGTAAGACTAATTCCATTCATTGCAAACCATTTTCTCAATTTTCATCGATTTTTAATAGAAAATCCTGCGGGGAATTCTCATTGAAAGATAAATATTAATTCATTAGCTTCATGTATTTTTTCGTTTATTCCTTTAACGATAAGAATCGGCAGATTGTTTTGCGACGTTTTCTCAGCAGTTTAAATTTTTCCGGACGATCATCCAGTTGTATCGATTCAACCGTTTGAGTTTCTGTTAGCAACCGAATTGCTGTTTTGAGTGTACATTGCCGTAAGTTGGAAAAAATAGAAAAAAAACGCTGAAACACCAAAAACGATAGATTGTTTAATTAATTAACCAGTGTCGAATAGTAAGTGCATGATGTACATAGGATTGAGCCTTGACGGTTGATCGAACCCGTCGACTCGACTCGGCAACATTCGCCAGTGCACACCCGGTGTATGACATCGAATTACCTCTGGTACCATATAATAAATGCATTTATAAATCGGCGCTCCAACGATTCTGTCAGTTCACTGTTGACGTTCAAGTGTCCACTGTGTTTTTTATTCTCCAGTTTTTACCGATTTCCCCACTTCAAACCACAAGGAAATAATTAACTGCGGAATAAATTGATGCACAACCAATGCATAGTGAAGTGTTCATCATTGTGAAGCATTCTATTTGATTTCACTAAGAAATATTTGTAATTTGAAAAACATGTAGAGAAGGATTTAGGAGTGGCCGAATTCAATCGGTTACAGTCGACTTGTCTCTTCGGTGAGATTATCAAGGATATTTCTGGAATGGAGGGAGATAGCACAATTTGTGTGATACCCTTTTTTGTAGCTCTCAATTGACTTCACGGAAAAGGTCATGACTAAAATGTCGCTATGTTCGTTGGATTCCGAGATTTTCATTGAAAACTGGTGGAAAATAAAAATCTACTGTGGAACGCGGTTTAATCCAATTCAAAATTAAATAAAATTACATGATTGTTTTTATTTTAGTGGAATTGAACTTAATCAGTTCCCTAGAGATATATTTACTCATAATAATCAGAATAATATTCGAGACGTGCAGATACAGGATTCCCAGAGGATGAGATTCCCAGTGATTATGAAGACATTTATACATCCTATGTTCATTAAAACGTAGACTGTAGTAAGACGTATGCCTTGGGGTTAGTTTTCCCCGAGTGGATGCTATTAAACATGAGATCTAACTCAAGACCATCACCAAGAAATCATCTTCTCGATGGGCTGGTTCAGTAAATGCGTGTGTGGCGTCAAAAACGCCAAATCTCATCCGAAGAGAGAGAGGAACAAGAAGCAAAACTCGAAAACATCACCGGGACGTGGGGATATATATGTGATACAAGAGCAGAGAAATGAAGAGACTGGAGGGAAACGTAGAAATGATAATAGAGATACCGAGGTAAATCATGTGGAGAAGCATCAGGAGATCGGCCTTGAGCGTCAGGAATTAGTCAGAGTTAATGAGGCAGATCGTGGAACGAAAGATTGGTCGAATGGTGAATTACCTCAGACAATCGATCCCAATCATCAGAACTACTTGAGGTCACCAGGTCATGAAGAAGAGTTCTATGATTCGCTTTCAGAGTCAAGATCTGATGAGACTCTTCAAGCGAACTCTCTGAAGAATAAAATCGATGGCGAATATCGGTGGCAGAATGGCTCACCAACCTTCAATCATTCGAATAAATTAAATCCAAGTTCAATGGTTCATGGAAAATGTCGAGCATCGAGCGATCTCTGGGAGTCATCGGACAAAAACAGAATAGCGAGTCGAGTGAATGACGATAATGACACTTTCGAGATGTTGAATAATAATCTGTACAATAACAACATGTCGAAGGATTTTGACGTGAAAGAAGGGTATCATTTTGCGTTGATGGACGGTGGAAGACTGTCTGTCGAGACTATTCCTCAGCGGAGTAAATTTTTCAGAGAAGCTAGCATTAAGAAATCCGGAAATGAGCAAGACTTCCGCTCTGGAATGAATTCGTGTAGTTTTGTGATACCGTTTCAGGAGAATGAGGCAATGGTGAAGGGTAATAGGAAAAAGAAAATCCACTCGATGATACCAAAACCCTCGTCCAGGGGTGAAACACATCACTCCAGCAATGACGGGATGCACGAAACATCCAATGGTATATTTAATATATTCCGAAATAGAAATCCATTATACAGTTTATCCATATTACCGTATTTTTTAATCGTCTCCATAATTAAAATAAGGGTTTCCACTTTGAAAACTGGGTCAGAGGATTTTTTTGGTCTGTTGCTCTTCAAAAATGTTTGATTGCTCTTTGAGAAAATTGATAAACAAATAGATATGTGAAATTTGATATGAATATTATTTTTTCCCTAAATGTTCTTCCTTCATGTGAATTAATTAATGGTTCTGGTGGATGGCATTCTCTCACTTTCGCCATTATCAATTTTCCTATTATTCAAATTTCTCTTGATCTCTAATAAATCAAGGTTTCCATATTTTTGTGTTGCAGGCCGTGTCCATTCTGCGATTGTCTCTGGCGTCAACTGGGAATCAAAAAGTGTCACAGTAGAATGGTTCGAGAAAGGAGAGACCAAGGGAAAAGAAGTAATAATATCTTGCAACTACCAATTTCATTATCCAAACCCTATTCCGAATAACTGGCCTATTTCCTATATCTCATACGAATGAAATTTCAACGAAAGCAATGAACTCTCGTAACGCACGTGCACCAACCACTGATTAAACCCCAACTATCACAATTTCGTCATCGAGTCAACGCCCTAGGTCACGGTTATTGTGCTATTTTAAATAGTCGAGCTTATGCAATGCGAAATTAGTAACTTGCTTGGGAGCGTTAGTCTATTTTCAACGGCTGTTCCCAAAAGATCGAATAAATACCCCGAAAGAAAATTCATCATATCCCAATCCAAAAGTCCAAAAGTCCAAAAATGCCCATAAGTTTAATTCCACGGAGAAAGGCAAAAATTGTTTACAAATATGAATGCAACTCCTCGACTCGATATAAATCTCATTACTCTGTTGTATTCAGGTGGAGATGGACACGATCCTGACTCTCAATCCCGAATTAACATCAAAGAGCATGGGTCCCCCTCAAAACAACAATATGATTTCAACCACAAGATCGAGGGTAAGTTTAATTCTCCAAATTCCTTAAATTTTGCTTGCAGCTCCAAACATCATCTCTGAAGACATCATGAAGATTTAATAATTTATCAATACGCGTAGAGACACTATATTTGTTTTTTTTTTCCCCAAATAAGTTTATCGACTTGAGTTCAATGAATTTGTTGACGCGTTGCCCATGACTACTGAATTTCTGTAACCTGTTCCACGGGGTATAATAATGTGCCGGTTTATTGGCAGCGGAGTGTATCACCTGGAATGTTTCAATACTTGATATTTTTCCAGGTAGATCAAGTGACGTGTCGTATTATTCGTTTTACTGCTCCCAGTTGTCCCACATCACGCATCCCATAAACTAGTTAATTATTAACTAACTCATAATGTCTAATGCTAGTTAAATTCAGTGATGAAACTAATGTGAACTGTCTTTTCCCTTCATGTGGACGCTGCTACCGTCAATCACGGATTAACAACGCATCTGACGACCCATCGTCATTGTTATAAACATTCTCAAACTGTCGAAATAACAATCCCCTCCTAATCACTATCATCTTGGTAATTTATTTTGTCATTTTAATTCAATCGTCTCTAAATTTTCACAAATGATGTGTCATTATTTTCTTTCATTCTTCCCTCTTTGCGTTCTTCATCATCTCTGAATGCGATTTATTAAATTGTAAAATGAAAAAAATGATGGACACGGAGCAGGACTCATCCGACGAGGAGGATGAGAATCCAGATGATCTGAATAATCAGGACGATGGATCATTGGGACGTCATGGTGGACAGACCTCTAGAAATGGCTTGACCTCTGCAACATTATCTGTACGAGTAACTCTACGTTATTTGTTAATGGTGCACATGAATCGTTTTAATCGCACAGCTTGAACAACTGAAAATTATGACAATATTCATGTACACGTGGGGCTCAAAACACTTACCAATTTAACAAAAATCACACCTCAATGTCTTTCAACCATTGCAATAGTCTCTGGGTTCATGGAGCTTAATCACAGGCTTGCAGACCCCAGAGAATCTCTAATACTTTTTTACCTATAGTTCAAATACACTTGGACACAAATATATTTGTCATTTAACGGCAATCAATAACTAATTACTCAATTCTTATTTTCAGCATTCTACGAGGCCGTCTATTCCAGTTAAAGGTACAATTTTTATTTAACTCCCTATTTATTCCTCCGGATTGAGAAGAGAATTGTTAATGCGAAGTTGTAGTTGTATGTGTGTCAGTGGGTAGATAACGGTTGAAATTCACCGCACTGGGGTGACTTATCTGTTACATGGGGTTCCAAAAATTCTCACGTGTAATATATCGACCCCCGCGTGTTGTACACATCGTATAACTATTCGATATTCATACCATATATGTGAGTCTAGGCTATAGCTGTGGCACAAGGGCAAGGACCCCGACGGGTTAGACAGTATTCTGTGTACACCTGACACCGGCACAACCCCTCTGCATCGGTTTTTATTTTTTCCGAACTTCAAATTCTCCCCATCGATCACTTTTTTTTTAACTATTTCTCAATTATTCTTTCAATCGACATGAAGTTTATACCGTGGGCGCATTTTTTTAAACGGAGGAATCAAATTGTTGATGAAAAAACCGCGGTCATTGCCATCGAGGCACCATCACCCAAACGAAAAGGTAGTTAATCGACAAATTTAATTCATTCGTATTTTTAGACCGTCTCGAGTCATTAATTAGAATTACTCTGTTCTAGGACGTAACATTTTACGTGTGTTGAGCAATTATACATGGTTTCAAGTATTTTTAACTGAGCATCGCATTCAGGGAATTTGTTTTCCAATATCAAGCCCTTTTTTTTCTGTGAAAAAATAAAAATAGAAATTCGGTTAAATTAATGAATTATAAGAATTCGTGGTAGATGTGGAAAGGTGTTAGTGCAATTGCGAAAAAACAGATCACTGGAATATAAAACTGATGAAATAATGTTGAAAAAATTTTTACAGCAGGTTCGAATCGTCAGATAGCCAGACAAACTGGAAGGCCGACGAATATAATGCCACCCGTGAGCTCAATAAATGGCCACGACTCTGTATCTGGTCTGACGAGTCGCCGTGAATTGGAAAATATTCCTCCAACGCCAACAGCACCTACCTTCTCCAACGTCACCTCCTCGGCAATCTCCAAAACCAAACAGATACAGCCCCCTCAAACGCAGCAACAGCCGAAGCAACAGCAACAGCAGCAGCAGCAGCAGCAGGAACAGTTACCGAGTAATCAGTCACAGGTGGAGAATGGCAGAGGAAGACGATCCAATGTGGTCAAGGAGGTTGAGAGACTGAAGAAAAATCGAGAGGAGAGAAGGCAGCGACAGGCAGAACTCAAGGAGGAGAAGGAGGCGTTAATGAACCTAGACCCTGGAAATCCAAATTGGGAATTCCTTGCTATGATTCGAGAATACCAGAATAGCATAGACTTCAGGCCTCTCCGTGAGAGCGATGCTGTGGAGGACCATCAAATAACAGTCTGTGTACGAAAGAGACCACTCAATCGAAAAGAAGTAAATCGTAAAGAGGTGGACGTTATAAGTGTGCCGAGCAAAGATCAAATGGTGGTGCACGAGCCAAAGTCAAAAGTTGATCTAACTAAATACCTGGACAACCAACTCTTCAGATTTGATTATGCATTCGACGAGACTTGCACAAACGAGATTGTCTACAAATACACAGCTAAACCTCTGGTCCAGACCATCTTCGAGGGTGGCATGGCAACGTGTTTCGCTTATGGTCAAACTGGAAGTGGCAAGACCCACACAATGGGTGGTGATTTCAATGGAAAAACCCAGGACTGCAAAAAGGGAATCTACGCCATGGTTGCTAAAGACGTATTCAAGTATCTCAAATTACCCAAGTACAGAGGACTCAATCTTGTCATATCAGCGAGTTTCTTCGAGATTTATTCTGGCAAAGTGTTTGATCTTCTTGCTGACAAAGAGAAGCTCAGAGTCCTCGAGGATGGTAAACAGCAGGTGCAGATTGTTGGATTGACTGAGAAGGTCGTTGAGACTTGTGATGAAGTACTGAAGCTCATTCAGAATGGTAACAGTGCTAGGACCAGTGGGCAAACAAGTGCTAATTCAAATTCATCGAGGTCACATGCTGTCTTTCAGATTGTGGTGAGGTCACCTGGTACTCATAAAATTCATGGAAAATTTTCGCTCATTGATCTCGCTGGTAATGAGAGGGGTGCTGATACTTCATCCGCCAACAGACAAACTCGAATGGAAGGCGCAGAGATTAATAAATCTCTTCTCGCATTGAAAGAATGCATCCGAGCACTGGGTCGCAAAGGCACTCATCTACCCTTCCGAGCTAGCAAACTCACACAAGTTCTCAGGGACAGTTTCATCGGTGAAAAATCAAGGACTTGTATGATTGCCATGATTAGCCCGGGTATGAGCTCTTGTGAGCACTCACTCAACACTCTGAGATATGCTGATCGTGTCAAGGAGCTCGCGGCAACCGATCCAACTGAAATGAAAGCCTCGCCCACTGATGATGATCAACTCTTCAAGATCGACGAGCAGGGGAATGACAGTGTCCTCTCTGATAGCGACCTCGCACAGCTCAGATCATTGAATGTAAGAAAACTCATTAATTCATCATTGAAAAAAATCAATTCCCATCTCTCAGAGTTATTCCCACAAATAAAAATCTTGCAGGTAGAATCCCCTGAAAAAAAAATCTCTCGGACAAAATCCCCTAAAAATATAAATAAAAATATATTGATAAAGTTATACATTCGACTGCTCAATAATTCGTCGAGGGGATTTTTCCTTGGTGAATAATTTCGGGTACTCAGAAAAATTTTATTTCCATCAGTCATAATTGAAAAAATCATGTATGAAAATTTCAGGAAGGGGAACTTTCTCAAGATCTATACACCTTCCACGAGGCAGTATCTGCCTTGCAGCTGATGGAAGAGGAAGTACTAGATACGCACAAACTCGTCATGGAGAATACCCCAAGATTCCTAAACGCTGCTCGCGGTGTATTCACCACAACTCACGAGGTTGATTACGATCAAGAAGGTAAGCATTATCAGAATATCTCTAGCCTGCACCTTCTTCCTAATGCATCGTTGAAGTGCACTAGAAATATAATTAAAACTGTACAAAAGGCGTGTGTTGGCTTTTAACATTTCGTTTGCCCCCAAAATCAGATTTGATTATCATTTCCAACCAAATTATCCTAAATGTTTCCAATACTTTGCATATTGCACCTGAACAATATCTATTGGCCAGAAATAACTTGTAAATCTATGAGAAAAGCTCCTTCCCTTATGCTCGGATAAATAAACAAATGCCAAGAGAGAAAGAGAGAAAGAGAAATCGATGAAGAGAAACATCTGAATTAGAACACAACAATGAAATTGTGACTGGCGTTCTCATGACAGATGCGAGCTCTAACCCCTCGGAAAAAACGTTCTTGGAATTGATTGGAAATTTTGGCGGCGGTGGCGAGTCACTGGACGCATCCATCAACGATTGGGACGAGGATATGAGCAGAAAGTGCGTTATAACTCCCTTATCCATCACGAGATCCCCCTGGAAATTCGAGTGTCAGGAGAGTTCGAGCTCTAGTGAATTATCCCAGGAGATGACGAAGACATCAAAACTGATGAAGAAGAAGGAAACGTATGCCTCAGCACCAATGAGAAAAACCACAGAGAGAGCATTAGCCCGGGATTCAGCCTCGAAGAGGAGTTCAACTCCTAGAAGACGTTGGTCCCTCACAACCAAAAAAACTACTTCGAAATACAGCTGGACTGGACAATTTCGTGCAAAACGTTCGATTTTCACCCGAAATCCCTCGACAGTCGAGGAGAAGAAAGAATTTTTATCACTGACAAGGACCCCCAGTCCTGTTGACTCTGGATTCCTTTATGGTCGAGATCCCGAGACTGAGGCTAAAGTTTTTCAATTAAATACAACGAGAACGATTAGACGTAACACCAGTGAATCCATGGATTCTTTGAATGATGACTTGAAGATTGATGATGATTGGTGGAAGAGTGAAGATGAGGGTCGTCATTTCTGCGAAGCAGAGAGTGATCCTAAGATTGCTGATGATTTTGTTAATTTGAGTGATTTTGGAAAAGTCAATGTCCTCAGACAACGATTTGGGAGGATGAAGAGACCTAGTTGGATTAACGCCGATAATTCAGACGTTTTAACAATGAATGATCTTTATGTTAATGATAACGATGATTATAATGGTGCATTTGATCTATCGAATGTCCCTCGATATGGGGACAGTGATGAAGAAAAAGGCTCGTTCTATTGCAGAGCTAAAGATTTTTTTCTGGCATTTTTAGTCAATGTTCTTATGTTTGCATTTTTACCAGTTATTTATATCACTATTTTCATTTACATGCACGGTGATGATGATTGATATCATCAAGCAATGAATTTTACCTCATTTTTATCGTTAGCGTTATTACTTTTTCTTTTAAATCTGTTCAATCGAGCATTTATTAGACTCCGTGGGTTTATTTTTATAATCATGAATGTACTGATGGTTTAGCTCATGGGGTGCATCTGGAATGCCGCAGTGATGTTTAGAGTGCAAATAGTGTGTTGATCACATTTGGTGGCGCATGCACGAGTTAATGTGTACAAATAATCAATCAATTTTTCTCAAAATACAAATTTATTGTTTCAAGTCGAGACTTATTTTTTTCTCACACTATTACCAAGATTATTAATGCCTGAGCATTTTTGCTGATGAGGTCTTCCGTTTTAACTCAATAAGGGTATCAATAGGTACCAAGCCCTTTTGATATTGAGGACAATTTTTTATAGGATTGGAAAAATAGGAAAATCTTCTTCGAGTGATTTTTAGTGATTCCAGATGTTTTTTGTTGGAGAAGAAGTGAAAATGTGTGGAAAATCTTATTAGAATATCAAAAATTGCTGTGAACTTTTAAAGGGGTTCAATTGGGGGGAATACCTCATGGGCATTCCGAATAATTGTAGGCATTATCGATCAGAATGAATTATTCTCGTCACATTAATTGGCTAAAATTTAATGATAAAAAGGGAAAGTGTAACGCCAGAAAACCTTGCAGATTTGAAACGGAAAAGAACAAAGTTTGAGTCGCCCCACCTGATGAGGAGATTCTCTTTGACTAGACGGCTAATTGAGAGAATACAGTTTTCAGACGGTACGATATTAATAATGAGCAAGAGCTATTCACTCATTGCAGGGAGAAATTTCAAAAAAATCATGCAATCGCTTCTACATTTTTCGTAATTATTCAATTTATCAAGTACTAATCACGAATTGGGCGAATTGTTTCATTATTGATAGCTCCATTCATCGTTTCACATGGGATTTTCTCAATAATTAATATTTATTCAAAGTTTGTAAAATAATGGCTTTCGTTTTCTAGATAAATTACGGCTTCATCACTTTATTCTTTTTCGTGTTTCATGTAGTACAAGGTCCTGGTGGAATTTTTAAACTGAATCGAAGACGATGGTCTTCGCTGGTCGATTGAAATAACATTATAACACGAGATATTATAAATTTAATGCGAACCTTGAGCTTCCGCAAAATGTATGAATTTATCATTAATAAATGTTATTTTCGTTGAATCCAGAATTCTAACATTCGTACACTCGTTTTACTAATGAGAATATATATATTTTTTTATTTAATACAGACTAATAGTTCCCGGCAATCACTAATATTGCAATACGCTAGATTATTTCAAACAGCAAATCAAATGTTTTGGGTGATAAAATCAATCAAATTTAATAAAAAATAATTACGGCATCGAGGCCAATGGGATTTATCGAATCATAATGACAACTCATACCTCACACTTAATCATAATTATCACAGTCGCTTCTGATAAACAAAATAGCCCAATTAAATTATTTCTGTTGTAATTTTATCCTCCAAATTGACCAGTCCCGGTCATTATTAATTATATATTTATATCTTCAATTTACTATCCAAATTATTGAAATTATCGTCTAGATACTGCCATTTGCGAAATTAAAATGATATTCGTGTGGGTTTTATCTTCGTAATCGTAATTTCATGGATAGTAATTAATATGAGCGTTAGTAATGGCGGGAGAAAGTGAATTTGGAGGAGGGAAATGGCCCCTCTCAGCTTTACGGGATTCAAATATCTTGTGTTTCAGCGTACGCGAAAAAATGGGAAGAATTGTTGCTGCAGCAGCGAGACACCCTAAATGCAGCTCTGGATCAAGTCAGTCAATTCCGTAGTCAACTGCTCCAGGAGGAGCAAATCAGCCAGAAGATGACACGCACCCGTAACTCCCGATACAATTAAACATCTCGGTTGAATTAATTAATGAAAAAGATAAATGGTTGGAGAGAAATTTAATGTCATAGTAATTTGTTCTGCTTGTGTATCGAGGGGTGTCCGAAATTATTATTTTTAATTATCGTTAAAAAATTCACTGCGGTACGTAGATAACGAGTTTAACTCAATGAATCATCCAATTCCATCATAACGATCGATACAAAATTGGTCGGACATGATCTGCTAGATTGAATTCAATTTCCAGTGCTCCATTAAATTATTTGCTTTTTTTTATATGATAAATATCCATGTCAGTAAAATTACCGAGAGTCTTGATGAATATTCAGGGAATCTCATCGATGATAATTGCCGAATATTTTTAACTTCTGCATTATGCCCAAAAATTATTAAAAAATAATCTATTAACGATAATTCCTTCGTTTATTAGTTAAATTAATTTAGTCTCGTAAAATGCTTGTTCCATTTGATAAGAAAAATCGTACTAATGAGTGCCCAAATGTCTCCGGTGTATTTCCAATTTTGAACTTGAATTTTCAATGGTCTGATCAAAAATATAGTGTGCTTCTTCATTCTTGGCATTAAATCATCTTTATTCTGTACTTCGAGAGCAATTTAACGGTGTAAACGTTGATTGAGCACTGGCTGTAATTTATTTTTGAGGGGAAATATGGAAAAATTTGAATTTATTAAAACTGATGGAATGGGTCTTATGAAAAAAGCTTAAAGTGACGTTTGATTATGATTACATAAGACGCAGGACGTTGATGAGTATGGAGAGCGTTGATTTAATTATCGATATGTGAAGTTAATGTCCAAGTTATTAGATGAGGGAAGTAACAACAGCTGAGGGAAGTTTGAGGAAATTTGAAGAGTTGAAATGTCATTGAGCAGTGATAGAATGAGTGGGATCAATGATTGTGAGTTTGTTCGATGCCTAGTGGTATTTCTAAAAAAACAAGAAAAAAGACAAAAAAAAACAAAACATAGATAGAAATAAAAGGAATGAATAATCATGTCAGGATAATTCATCTGATTTTAAATCCCTGAGGGATTCGACGTGGCGATTATTTATTATAAATTCTCTGTTATTTTGCTTTATTATTCATGATTAGTCATCATTCATAGTGTCATTGCATGTTTTTAATTAAATCTTTGGTTTTTTTTTTGTACGGTTGTTAAATCGCCCTGACGAATTCCCCGGTGTATAAAGCATAATAGCTTCTCAAGTCGTATAACGTAATAATAAAAAATTAAAAAACCAAATAACGACTGAACCCAGAATGATAACAGTTTAGATAATAAGATGATTAAATTTAAATTTCCTTGTGAAGCGAATATGTATCGTCTTGAGTGTTCTTTTTTTTTTAATATTTTATTGTGTTTAGCCGGTAATACTTTTTTTAGTAAATTCACGTAAAAATTGTCATTTAATTCATTTTATTTTCTCATAATCCAAGCATATGTAACTGAAAAAAAATGAAGCATTTCCAGAACGTCAACTCTTTTGATAATTAATTTATTCTTTGATTCCTCATCACTCACACTCGAGATGTTGACGATTGACATTAGTGGCCTTTGAGAGATAATGAAAAATAATGTTAAACAAGGATTGGACATCGATTATTCGCTTTAAGTGGAGACATCCCCAGTGTACAGAGACCATATCACGAAAATTCTATTGGAAATAATGAAAATCTTGAATAAATTGTCATTACTGAAACATAAAAATTCATTCCATAAAGGGTACGAATAATTTATTTTCAGCAAAATAAATAAATAACTCGACCAGCAAGTAAACACACCCCATCGAGCTTTCGAGACAACCAATAGGTAACTATGAATAGTATCTGTAAAATCTCTGCAAAAATCATTACAAAATATAGAGGAAAAAATAAATTTCCACGATGAAATTAATGAATGAAAATAGTATATACAAATTGGCTAGTTTTTATCTGAAAACTGAGTAGAATGATCTTGAACCCGATAAATGCAGCTAGATCAAATCCAGACAGTTCGTACTTGAATCTTAATCGTCAATAAAGTCACCACTGCCCTCGGAGTCAAGCACAATTGTTCTGTGACGATCTCGAATGAGGGACTCTTGACTGAGAGCTGGTACTTGTTTAGAAAATTCAGTTGTTGCCCACAGGAATAAATCCAACGTTTGTTCAGTGCATTCAGCAATAAATCGAACGAATGGACTGACGTGTCCTGTATTCGCTATTTGGAGGTACTCGTAATACTTGTGGCGGTGGTGCTTGTGGATAATAACAGGTGGATATCCGGCTTGCATTAAAATAGTATTCATCAGCAGTCTCGACGTTCTCCCATTGCCGTCTGAGAAAGGATGGATGTGCACTAGCTTGTAATGGGCCAAGGCGGCGTATCTAATACCACAAAATGTGAAAATTATCTCTAATTAATCATTCAGAATTAATAAAAAATGATCTACTAAAGTCATTACATTCACAACAAATCTAACAAAAACAGTGACTTTTATTGAAGTATTTGAAAAAAATCATGCCTACCTCACTGGGTGCAACCGTACAGCTCTCTCGCTATTTAACCAAGACGTGAATTCTTCCATGAGGTAATGGATATCCCCTGGACCTGGGGGGATATGTCCACCCACATAAACCTGCGTTCTACGAAAATGACCGCCTTCAATAGGGTCGACATGACCCAGCACTCGCAGATGAATCTCCAGGATATCCTTTAGAGTTATCGACCCAATTCTGTGCCAATCATTGAATTATTAATTAAAAATATATATATATCTAAAAGACTACCTGATATTATGGTAAATTGCCAATTTTCATTACAATTAAAATTTGTAAAATCCCCCATATAGAATTTTTGAAGATTTGTTCTCAGTAATAAAATACATAAATAATTATTGTGTTCTCATACCTATTGACTAAAGTGGCATTAATGTACTTCATCGCAGCATCGAGTCCGAGAATTTCGTTATGCTCATCAATGCTCTTGCCAGCAACAGCAGTTCTAGTTTCGACAATGGCCCTAGTCTGTGCGAGATTCATGGTATTCCCTTCAATTCCAACAGTATGATAGATATGCTGGAAGTATGCCTCCTTCTTGGCCCTTGTCAATGCCGCATTATTATCAGGAATAGCGGACAGTGCATCTCTCTTCTCGTCAATTCTCCTCAGCAACCTCTTGTCCAACTCCTCGACAACTCTAGCAGTTCTTTCTCTGTTCATCATGGCACTCTCATGATTGGGCTCGTATGTCAGGGCACGCACGTAGAACTCGTTCGCCCTGATGACGTCGTTTTGGGTGTGCTCTAAAAATTCTCCGTAGTGATTCAGCACGTCTGGATGCTGTGGAGCTAAGGCCACTGCATGCTGAAATAATTTGATGGCCTTTTTCTTTTTTCCTGACAGCCTCATCTCTAGAGCTAGCTGGAGGGATGTTATCGCTTCTGATATGCATGCTGTGTCCTCGACTTCTTCAAAGGGTTGGAGACCACCGGATTTTAGCGGTAAACCTATTGTACTTTCGTCGTTGATATTCAGGGAACTTTCGGAGGGCAGGTGAGAAGGTGGTCGTATTGGTTCTGCATCTTCATTTTTTAAATAATTAACAATTAATGAAATTCAGTAGTAAAGTAGCAAGAACATTGCATATCTTAAATTATGATGATTAAAGAAAAAATCTATGATTTGTCGAATTATTTCACATGTAGTCGAAGATTTATGATATAATATGACGTCAAATGCGGACACGTGGCATCATCCCGGACTATGACACATTCTGAGAATATGTCCAAGCAATAATTGCACACAAGTTGAAATAGTTGATAAAAATTCGGGAGAAAATTCTGGATCACTGAGAATGGGTTGGGAAGTTCTCCATGCAATGTACATTGTTGTGAGAAGAAAATGATTGATTTGTATTAGTTGATTTTTAAAATACCTGTCCTGTAATTGTACTTGTACTGCAAGTAAGCAAACAGTGCTGTTGCAATGACAGCTGCAAAAACTCCAAACGTGAAGATAAGAAGAACACCAAATTTGGATAACACTGGAACAATCGGCGTAACGTCTTCATTTTTCATGTACGTTTTCTTATATAATGTGTAACACTCAGAAGCACTGCTCGGTGACATAGTACCCAAATTCGTCTATTTGAATTGTCGATGTGAGTTGTTACTCGTTGCATTATTGTGAGCAAAACACGAGATTTTTCCGTGTTGGACTGATTCTTGCTGATGCGCTCAGCTGTCAAAATTTTTCAACACTTGGAGAATTGAACGATCATGAGGGCGCCACCTTATTCTACTTCTACGTGGAAATTTTTATCGACAATAATTAGAAAAGTTGTCAATTATTTATGAATAATTTTTAAAAATCTAGGTCTACGATATGTAATCAATTATATGCGAGTCACCAGCGCAGATTAATTGATACACAACATTTTCAATCGTCTGCTCACTCCTCCCATTGGAAGTCGGGAAATCTGGACTTACGTTTATATTTTTTATCCGGGAAACCCTAAAAAATTAGAGGAATTGTTATAGAGGGCGATTGATCGCACGGTGACTCGCAAACTCCGAGATATCATAACCTCGATTCCGGTGACGAGATTTATTGTCTGAGGTTTCAGAGAATTCATTGAGAATTTGAAAATAGTTGTGCATCAATCCTGTGGAAAGATGCCGGAGAGCACGAAGGCAGAGGCTAAGACCTCTAAGGATGTTAAAAGTAATAAGGATGAAGAGAAAAATGACATGGTAAGGTTGAAATTGCCTAGTTTTGATTTTGGGTTAAACGCAAGCTTAGACAAGATTTTCTATATACTCAATTCGGATTTCTTTTATCTTCCAGTCGGAAGAGGATAAACTCCTCCAGGAAGAGCTCGACACATTCGTAGAGCGTCTCCAGGATCCCGACAAGAAGCAGCACTACCCAGCGCTGGATGCTCTACGCACAAAAATTCGTGAATCAACGACGTCGATGACGAGTGTCCCAAAGCCCTTGAAATTCATGCGTCCTCACTACGACACAATGAAGTCAATCTACGACAAGTTGAATGACAAAAAATCCCAAGAGCTGTGTGCAGACATAATCTCGGTGCTGGCGATGACGATGGGTGAGGGCAGAGAGTGCTTGAAATATCGTCTAACAGGTTCTGCTTCAGAACTTGGTGAATGGGGCCATGAATACGTGCGCCATTTATCCGGAGAACTGGCAGCCGAGTGGGACGAGGTAAGTGGAGGTGATGATTCAGAGAACAACACCGAGAAACTCATAACTCTCGTCCAAGAGATCGTCCCCTACAACATGAAACACAACGCCGAGACTGAAGCCTGCGATCTCCTGATGGAGATTGAAAGACTGGATCTCCTGGATCAATACGTCGACGAGAGTGCGTATCAGAGGGTCTGTCTGTACCTGACGAGCTGCGTTCCCTATGTGGCTGATCCTGAGAACAGCACCCTTCTGAGAGCTGCCTGGAAGCTCTACAGAAAATTCAGACAGTATCCCCAGGCCTTGCGCCTAGCCATGCAGCTCAACGATTTGAATCTCGTTAGCTACATCTTTCTCAGCTGCACAGATCTCTCGATGCAGAAGCAATTGGCCTTCATGCTGGGTCGTCAACAGATATTCCTGGAGCTACCAGAGTCCACTGCTGAGTACGATGACCTGGTAGAGATCATGTCGAACTCCCACTTGAACAATCATTTTCTTAATCTCGCTCGAGAGCTCGACATCATGGAGCCCAAGACACCAGAGGACGTCTACAAATCTCATCTGGAGAACTCTCGTCCACCCTTTGGTGGAGGACAGGTGGACTCTGCACGTCAGAATCTTGCGGCATCATTTGTCAATGGTTTTGTAAATGCTGCCTTTGGTCATGATAAATTGCTCATCGAGGATGGAAACAAGTGGCTGTACAAGAACAAGGAGCATGGCATGCTCTCAGCCACTGCATCACTGGGTCTAGTTCTTCTGTGGGACGTTGATGGAGGTCTCACACCTATCGACAAGTACCTCTACTCATCTGAAGACTACATCAAATCAGGGGCACTGTTGGCATGTGGAATCGTCAATTGTGGAGTGAGAAATGAGTGTGATCCTGCACTTGCTCTTCTCTCAGATTACGTTCTTCATAATAGTAATACTATGAGAATTGGGGCTATCGTTGGATTAGGACTGGCCTACGCTGGATCCAACCGTGAGGCAGTCCTGACGCTTCTAGCTCCAGTCCTAACTGATCCCAAATCCAACTGGGAGGTCATCGGAGTGGCTGGTTTAGCCCTGGGAATGGTGGCAGTTGGTTCCTGCAATGAATTCGTCACCACCAGCATCATGCACTGCCTCATGGAGAAGTCAGAGACTGAGTTGAAGGACACTTATGCTCGTTTCCTGCCACTGGGCCTAGCTCTGTGCTTCCTGGGGAAACAAGAAGCTGCTGAGGCTATTATTGCAGCTCTAGAGGTCGTCCCCGAGCCCTTCAGGTCCATGTCGACGACTCTGGTAGAGGTATGCGCTTACGCTGGCACTGGAAATGTCCTCAAGATTCAACATCTTCTGCACATCTGCTCAGAGCACTACGAGCCAACATCTGATAAAGACGAGAAGTCTGATCGCCAGAAGGATTCCAAGGAGAAGAAAGATGATAAGGAGAAGGAGAAGGAGAAAGAAAAGGATAAGGACAAGAAGGATTCCAAGGAGAAGGATGATAAGGACAAGCAGAAGGAGAAGGATCTGAGCTCGAAACAGGCAATTGCTGTTCTGGGGATAGCTCTTATTTCCATGGGAGAGGAGATTGGTGCTGAGATGGCTTATAGAACCTTTGGACATCTTCTGAGATACTGCGAGCCGGTTATCAGGCGATCTGTACCTCTGGCTCTTGGACTCATCTCAGTATCTAATCCTAAACCCAATATTGTCGATACTCTATCGAAATTCTCACATGACAGTGATCCTGAAGTAGCACACAATGCCATTTTTGCAATGGGATTGGTGGGTGCTGGGACCAATAATGCAAGACTCGCTGCTATGTTGAGGCAATTGGCTCAGTTCCATGCCAAAGATCCGAATAATCTGTTCATGGTGAGGATTGCTCAGGGATTGACTCATCTCGGTAAAGGGACTCTCACACTCTCACCTTATCACAGCGATCGACAACTTCTGAGTCCCGTTGCACTTGCTGGACTTCTTGCCACTTTGATTGGATTTCTCGATGTGAAGAATATTATTCTGGGGAGATCGCACTATCTTTTGTATACTCTGGCTTCTGCCATGCAGCCCAGGATGCTTGTCACTTTTGATGAAGAACTTAATCCTCTTCCTGTACCGGTTAGGGTTGGTATTGCTGTTGATGTTGTTGGGCAGGCGGGCAAGCCCAAAACCATCACTGGATTTCAAACACACACAACACCTGTTTTACTTGCTTATGGGGAAAGGGCTGAACTCGCCACTGAGGAGTACATACCACTCACCCCCATCATGGAAGGCTTTGTCATTCTGAGGAAAAATCCTGAATTCGTTCCCTAGACTTAGCATTCAGTGATAACACCCATTTACTTTATACTTCATTTTTAAATAAAATAAATTAATTTTTTTTCTTTTGAACTAAATCGCATTGTGTAATATTTTCACGCCTCAGCGCAATTTTCCTGGGCTCTCAGGAAATTCTTCAGTATAATGTTTATACCATGTTTTTTTGTGATGAGATATGAGGGAGATATAATAAAACAAGTTTCAGTATATGGTGCTGTGAAAATTTAGAACCTTTTTACATTTATTTAATTTTTTCGTAAAAATCAACTATTGATATTTTTAAGTGATTTAGCAGTTAGGAGCAAGGATAGTCTGAAAAAAATGCATTTTTTCATTGATGTGTTGACAGTGACAGCCACGTGATGTTTACCGCACGTCCCATTCTCAATGATGCGCAAACAGCTGACATTAGCGACAACGTCAAGTCCGTTTCCACTCGATTCACAACTCCAAATAGATCCCCCAAAATGTGTGTAAATTTTCACATCTTTGTTTGTTGTCAATTTTCGCACAACTACGTGAGATGACTTGCGCGACTGTTGTACGTGGTCTCATCGAAATTTCCCAAATAGTTGTAAAAATAATTCATGATACCTCAGCATTTTGCAAACCGGTGCTTTCATTAATGCGAGGGAATTGAGTTTGGACTGAGTTAATTGGTGAGTGCTGTTGCGGTTGGGTTTTGGTGTCAGTTGATTAGAAAGTCAAATCATTGTGTTTACGTGGCCCAATGCAAGGGGAAAAGGGTTGCAGATCAAATCAAGGTGTTTTTTATTAACAAATGGAAGACACAAAGAGTGAAAATTCGGTGACAATGGAGCAGCAGGTGCAACAGGACTCGTCCTCCTGGGGCGAGTGGACCATTATTCACGATGACAAGGAGCACAATTCTCAGAATCCTGTGGCAGGTTTTCCAGAAGGAAAGCCTAAGGAACTTGATGGGGATGATGACAAGGAGAGAGAGTGCCACATCGATGAGGAGGCACGAGAGGTATTTCAAATTGGCGAAATATCTAGAAGTAATTTTGCCGTATCGGCAAAGGCGTCTCAGCGCCAAAAATCTATTTTTTCTCAACTAAATTTTCCATGTTCCTGTTTTTTTTAACAGGCGTAATGATTACTTTAACGACTACATGATCTCGTAGGAATATATCTCCACAATGACGTCATTTTCATCTTGTCAAACACTTGTCTTATTCATATTTTATATGAGAGTATTGAGAATAACAAATTACCAAATTGTTGATTAAGATAATGAATTCTTTAAAATCTAAGATCAAAAGAACGTATCGTAAACGAGCGTTAAAAAATATGATAAGATTTTTGGAACACGAAGACCCTGGAAAACTCAATTTACCAAATATTTATTTTTTTATTTTTCATAGGTGATAGAGGAAATTGATCCTACCACTCTTGAATCTTCTGTTGCCTCTGTTACCCCACGGGAAGAAGATTCAGATGGGATTTCTGTTATCACCGAGAGCGACAGGGGAGACAGTGAAATTAAGGGAGATATTACGAAATATATTGACTCTGAACAAACAATTCCACGGGTATAGTATTGTTTTATTCTAATTTAGTAATAATTTGGAGAATTGTCATCAACATAGGATTAATCCAAGTCACTCGTTTTCTTTCACTTCGCCACGAAATTATTTTTAGAATAATGAATATAATAATAATTTAGTGGAGTGAAATTCTAATATTCTGAGTCATTGAGAATTCCTCAATCTGCTGTGATTCTCTAGCAACGTGAAAAATTAAATATAAATCTTCAAAACGTCAGACACCTAATGAAACTCATTTCTTTGTTCAGTTTGGACTGTACACGAACTTCATCGCAGCTTGTTGCCTGGCGGCAGCTATTGGTTTTGGCATTGGTTGCGTCGTTGGCAACGGAAAACCTCAACTTCCATCAGCCAATGTCCAAGTGTCGCTTAAACCAACACTCCGACGAGTTGAGGAATTGAATACTGATGCTTCAGGGGAGATTTCCATCACCACTGAGTCCGAGTCATTCGATCCAACGTTAAATGCTCCAAATATCGTGAATCAAGAGCCAACGAGTCATGACATATTGCAACATTTGACACAAGAAAACGATCAGAATTTAAATATTCGAAAATTCGAGCAGATTCCCGCGTTCAGGAACTCCCTTCAAAAACTGAAATTATCCCTGGAAACATTGTGTTCCTTAATAGATCAAAATCAGAGAGTAAACTACGAGAACGTATGCAGCAAGAATTCAAGAATTTTTGAGGTCATCAAGCTGAAGGGGACAGTGGAATACATTGTCAATGAATTTGGATACAAAGAGGACGCCTCCATGAAGCAATTCATTGAGAGCATAGACTCCAAAATTGAAACCACTGTTGCATCATTTTTAGATCGTTTGTCGAAGATGGTGGAAAAGATGCGAGGGAGGCTCTTTCAGAGGCTTTGCTTGATCAGAAACACCTACGACAACGGGGCAAAGATCCAAGAAGTACTGGATGGGAGATTAATATCTCTCGAGAACTGTAATTCGCATAAAATTCCAAATCCAGATAAGAAGAGGAAAACTAATAAATGGAAGGGAAGAGGGATTGATTCAGCTTCTGGAGAAATACCTGGGATGGAATCTCTGAAGATGGAAGAGAGTGCTGAACTGCCAGATGTCAACAAAAATAAGAGGAGGAATCACAAGTCTGAGGAATTTCGCAAGAGCAAGTGTCATATTTCAAATGAAGAGACTTTGGGGGATTATTCGAGTGAGAAAAACGACATCAAAAAGTTTAAATCGAGTCAGGGATCGAAGGACGACTTGAACGAATGGAAAGATTTTTATTCATCAGAACAGGTAAAAAATCTAGGAAAGAATCACGCGAAGTCGAAGAAGAAGTACCAGAAGCAATCAAAGGAATCCAATGAAAATTCTTCAGAGGAAAAGAATTTCAATACTTTGGACGAGCAGAAGGAGAATAGAGGGGGGTATAAAAAGGATTTTAAACCGTCGAAAAAGTATGGAACCCCCAAGGGAGAGCCAAAGGAGAATTTCGTGGAGAAAAAACATGGGAATAATTACGATGCATCGGATGAAAGTAATAAAGGACAGGGTGATAGCGTTTGTTATTCGAAGAAATGCTCTAAGCCGTACGACAATGATGAGAAAAATCATCGGAGGGGGAGTGGAAAGAATGGGCAGTGGCAATTCGAAAGGTACCTAAATAAACCAAAACTATGGATCAGTTCTTAATGAGTTGAGTTTATTTTTTTGTTCATTTTTTTTTACTGATAGGGCTCAAGGCAGAAGGCAATATCGTTCTGACGAGGAAGATATTTACGGTGTGTGGTATGACAACAGAGCGAAGGCTCGAGAACGAGCGAGACTCAGTTTCTAACCAGAGATATGTCTTTTTTATATTTAAATTAAAGTTTTAAATAAAAATGTAGATGGCTGCAATGGGGGCAAGGATAACATACTTTCAAACAAGTTTTATTTGAAAAAAATATTACCCTTTGACAGTTATTAAGAGACTTAAGACTTCACTACAGACCTGATACGATAATATTTCACTCTTACTAGATTTGTAGACTTGTCAAAATAATTCGAATATTATAGTTTATTGCTCCATAATTATTTTATGCATTTTTACTTTAACGAAATACTTATGTTGTGCAAAACATATAACAGAAATTTTTTGTTCATCATCTGAATATTTAAAAACGGGAAGTTAATACCTAAATAAAATTGGACTCCACTCCAGGTTTGAATCCTGAAAACGCAGATATTTAGTTTAAAAGACAAATTTATTATTACTATTTACATTTTCATGGAGAAATGAAATAATTTCAATCGAATAAGACTTGTTTGAAACTTGTTTTCTTTTCTATTGGTGTGGAGTTTGTTGAAATATGGGTAGAATTTTTTTTCTTCCTCTAATAACTTGTAACTGGAGATGAAATCTCTGTACTTTAGACTCTAAAGTTTAGAGTGTAGTGTTGAGGTGGTCGAGGATTTTATTTGTACCAAATTGACTGGCTGTACTGTCGATAATAGTGACGAGTGATATTGGAAATAAAGATATGATATGTGTTAGTTACAAGGTAGAATTTATTCTAATGTTAATCCAACATTTAATATTTTTCGATGAGTGAATGGGTGTGTGATACTTTCATTTGTTTAGATGTCAGGATTCCTTCTAAGCTATAAATGGGAGAAATTTCAGAGAAAATCGTCGAAACAATTGTCTCAAATATTGAAAATGTGCTTGAGCGTCTTCTTACAGATGTTAAAGGGTTACCAGAGGAGAAGAAATCTGACAAAACGTGGATATTCTTGAGACATTTGATGTATTTGATTGAACACGTACTGTTCAGGTTGAGAAATAATCCAAACGAGGAGAAAACCAGGGAAGATTTCTACTGGGCACTCTGGCACGAGAACAGGGATACACAAGTAAAATTAACGAGTAATGATCATTGCTAAAATTCAAAATAATGTTAAATTAAAGAGTAACTCTGTCCATCAAAAGATTTAAATAAGAAAGTCATAAATATTCTGGACGATAGGGTATTTTTTCTAAATCTGGTAGTTTCGCATGTTTTTTTGTTAGTGCAAAAAATATTTATGTACGTTTTAGCGCTAAGAGCTGCAATTGAGGGGCAAAGAAAACTCAATCAAGGGATTATCGATAGAATTCATGGGAATTTCATACGAAACTGTCAATTAGTATCGCGAATCGATGATAAATTCTCGGTAGATGCTGTAACGATTAGGTACATTCAAACATTATTTTTATAATTTTTAAAATTGATTTATTGTACAAAAATCACTTCTCCATCGTTATTATATACAGACTTAAATTCGAGCGTATGCAACTCAACGAATATAAAAAATCTGAGGATCGACAAAATGATTTGAAAGAGATTTGTGGAGTTTCTAGGAATAGACTCCAGAATTATCGATTAAGTCTTCGAAAATTGGAGCAAGAAACGTTTCAGAAAAGGTAGGGTAGATTGTCAATTTTAACTCAATGCATTAATTAATTTCATGATCCATAATCATTTGTTCATTAATCCAGATTAAAAATATCAGGGAAATTCTTATCACTATTGAATCGATACGACACAGAAATAGGTGGAAGAAGGAAAACCCTTTCTGATCTCGAGTCAATCCTGAATGATCTCACAAAGAAAATCCACCAATTACAAGTAATTTATTTCTTTAAAAATAGAGAAAATATTTCAACTCCTTTTTTCATAAACTTGACACTTTTCTTCAATAGGAGAATATGAACGAACAATCCAATCTGTACAATTCTTGTTTCAACGAACAAGAGGAACGGAGATTAGCAGAAATAATGGCAAAACTCGAGTTGATTACAGGAGTTATTGCAGCAAAGAAAATACAACGCTGGTGGCGAAGTATTCTCCCTGCTCTCAAGAGTAGAAAGAAGAAGAAAGCCAAGAAATCGAAGAAAGAAAAAAAACGAAAGAAATAATTCAATAGTGAAATGGTAAAAACAGTAACTGAATCAATAAATAACCAGTCCTTTTAAAATCTCGGAATCAAACTGAAATAGAAAAACTAATACACTTCTCATTTTCCTATCTCATAATCTCACATTTCACTATGAAATGGATAAAATCGATCCTCGGGAATAAATTAATAAAAAATCAGGTTTACTCGTCCTCTTTGATGCACTTCTCCACCAAATCGCTCAAGTTTGGATTCTCCATGGCAGCTGCGATTCTCTCTTTATCATTTATCTGTTTATTGACTGGAATAACGAATATATTATTAATACAACAATAAGAAGCGATGAATGACCTGTTAGAATTTGAAATATACTTTCATCCTCCGTGGAGTGTGCTCCTTTTTTAATAAATATATCCAGCTTGAAGGACGCCAGCAGATTACGCTCCAATTTAACTCTAATACACAGGCCAATTAATGTGGCGAGGGAGCAGTGAGGAACAGTTGGATTGAATTCAACACGAATTATGTAGTTATCATTAGCATTTCCCTGTGATACACTTACACAGTCTTCGTAGACTACCTCCAGGTCTTCCAAAGTTTGAGGCTTCTCTGGATCTTTTATTGTCCTCAGAAGATCTGGAAAAAATTTAATCTGATGTCAAATTGAATTGTAATTAATACAATTAAAACTGTAAAATTAAAAAAAAATATTGTCATAAAATGGCAAGCCCTGAACTAATAGTTATGACTGTTTTATCACATCAATCAACGGGAGAGACTATTCAATTCATTGGATGACCATCAGAATATCACAGACTAAAAAAACATTGAAATCTTGCCATAAACATTTTCCTTGAGTTCGTTAGCATCTTCAATGAAACAATTCTGATTCTTCTCATCTGTCAAATCCGTGGCAGTCCCCATTATATGATCAGGCATTAAACCATCTTTGACTTTGCTCCCGATCGATAGCTTGCGTAATAACGAAAACATTTCTTATCCAAGATATAATTGATATCTTAATGCTGAACATTCGTGGGTCGTATAATCCCTTTCAACTAGTATGATAATCCGTTTGCCATCATGATCTACAACCTAACCAAATTTTTTCACTCCTAAAGTCCCCCAAAGTCCTAAAGTCCAGAATCAAGTGTCAAAATCACGAGTCATCAACAAATCATCCATTAAAATCGATTTGCCTGATTTATCCAATGAAATCTCGAATTTTTAATTCACCAACTACTTGGGGTTTATGTCTGTGCAACATCTGATGCTCCAAATCATCAAAACAACATAATTGTACTGGCGATCAGATGAGAGTGGTCTCGAACATCTCAAAACGAAGGAAAAGAGCTAGTCAGACCTGTAATCTCGTGTGTCAGTGGTTGACGTGCACTGAATGCACGTGAAGGAGAGATCCATGTGTGGGAGAACGTGGAAAGTAGGAAAAAATGGCCTGTCTACACTTTATCATTTTATCAGGGAGAATTTGTGCCGGAGTCATTGGAGGGATCACAAATAGGTATCATTACACGTCCATGTGATCTAGTAACTCGAGATAATTAGTGAATACTCGAAATTACTCTCCGCTTGTGTAATTTTTTATAGTCGTGGGTCGTTTTGGTATTGCAGTTGGAAATCTTGGGAGAATTCTACGCGTTTCAATATTGAGGAGTCTGCCACGTACTTCAAGGATCATGTTCTCCAGGAATAATGCTTTATTGGTAGTACGAAGGTATTACTCTATTGAGACAACTCTGCAGCCAAAAACTTCGTCGAGAGTGAGACAATTTTTTCATTTTCTGTTCTATTTGTTTTGACTTTTGCGTAATTGAGGAGTTGTGGGTTTGTTTCATCATTCGGAGGTTTTTAGGTTGAAGAACTTCGAAAACGATTGAAAAATCATGGCAATGGGATTCTAACTGATTCCTTTGGGAGAAAACACACGTACCTGAGAATTTCTGTCACCGAACGCTGCAATCTTCGATGTATGATGCATTTTGATATATTGATAAGACCGAGATTTTTTTAAATCAGTTTATGAATATATTTCCTTCTTTTAGATATGTAAAATGAATATTATAAGATTCATTTCACATGATATCATATCACTTCATTTTTGATCTTGTGGTTTAACGTGAGAGGTCAAGTTTAATTTTATTTAAGGTTTATACTGCATGCCTGCTGAAGGTGTAAAATTGACGAAAAATGAGAATATTTTGAAGACTGACGAGATACTGAGACTGGCGAGACTTTTCGTTAAGAGGGGAGTCAGAAAAATTCGGTTGACAGGTGGTGAACCAACGGTTAGAAAGGATATTATCGATATTATAGGTGAGTTCAAAGTATCTTTATAAATTTCTTGTAACAAAACTTGGAAAAATACAAATAAAATAAGAATACGTTCAACCTATTCTCCTCATTATTTTCTTGATTGGCACATTTATTTATCCACAATTTTTCTTCTTCAGCTATTCGTTTTTAAATATTTATAATCTTTCAGCTCAATTGCGACAAATAGAGGAGATCGAGAGCATAGGAATGACAACGAATGGTTTAGTATTGACTCGTCACCTGCCAGCACTTCAACGAGCTGGGCTAGATGCCCTGAATATTTCCCTGGACAGTCTGAAGAAGGAACGTTTTGAAAAGTTTACCAGGAGGCAGGGATGGAGTCGAGTGATGGCTGCCATTGACCTAGCCGTGCAACTGCAGTTCAACCCAGTCAAGGTATTCATCTCATTCATCCTTTCATGTCTGTCGATCCAATTTCATGAATGTGAATGTGTTACCTAGGTAAATTGCGTCATCATGCGGGGCTTCAACGACGACGAGCTCACAGATTTCGTGGGGCTAACTAGAGATAAATCTATTGACGTACGTTTCATCGAGTACATGCCCTTTGACGGTAATAAATGGGATGAAAATAAAATGGTATCTTTCAAAGAGATGAAAGAGAAGATTACACTCAAATTTCCGGAATTTCAATCGTTGGATAATTCTCCTAATTCTACGTCAAAGGTGACAATACAAGTATTTCGATTTTTTTCTTTTTTATGACTTTTTTGGAGGTTTTATCCGACCATTTTGTTAATTGTCAGGCATTTCACGTTCCTGGATTTGCCGGCCAGATAGGTTTTATAACTTCGATGAGTGAGCACTTCTGTTACTCCTGTAACCGATTACGAATAACAGCCGATGGAAATTTGAAAGTTTGTCTCTTTGAGGGTAAGAGTGAGGTTTCACTGAGAGACGCCATAAGAAATGGAGCAGACGACGAAGAGATCGAGGAGATAATCGGCCTAGCTGTTTCCAAGAAAAAGAAGCAACATGCTGGTGAGTTGAGTATTTCCTCCGTGCACTCTAAAAAACCATTACTTCTGAAACGTATTGGACTAAATTTTTGGTCGGTTGACATTTTAAAAGTTGCGAAAAATATTTCTAGGAATTTTGGGATGTAGATCAAATGTACTAATTGATAGTTTCAACTCTGACCTAGAACTTGTGAGGATTCAATTAAAAAACTCAATAATATGTTTCAGGAATGCTCAATCTAAAAGACATGGAAAACCGTCCAATGATTTTGATAGGTGGTTGATTCTTGCAGGTAAACCAGTATCATCATCACCATCACCATCACAAATGCACAATCATCTCAAGAAATACATGATAAACGGTCTCCAGACCTCGAGTTATTCAATTCGAAAATTAATAGCCCAGCAGTATTCCTCGTTTTCCCACGTTAATGCAGAGGGAAAAGCAAATATGGTTGATGTGAGTAAAAAAATTCCAACAGCTCGTTGTGCTAGGGCGAGGGGAATAATCAGAGTGGGACCATTAGTTAGTGAATTAATTAATCAAAATAATATGAAGAAAGGGGATGTTCTCCTTGTTGCCAAGTTGGCTGGCATAATGGCAGCCAAGAGGACGTCGGATTTAATTCCACTATGTCATCCACTCAGTTTAACCCACGTTGAGGTAAATTTGACGCTCAAACAAATTAATAATGAACATGCTGTTGAGATAAACTCCGAGGTGAGATGCTCAGGTAAAACTGGGGTTGAGATGGAGGCACTCACTGCTGTCAGTGTTGCTGCACTCACTGTTTACGATATGTGCAAAGCAGCTGTCTCTGCTGATGAGATGATGATTCAGAAGATAGAGTTGGTTTATAAATCTGGGGGGAAGAGTGGAGATTATATCAAGCATAATTAGATAATTGGGGGAGCCCTGACATGGCAAGGGGATTTCTTCAATAGTTTCATGAATTTCCAATTAAAAAAAAGGTTGATTAGTTATTTCTTATCAATAATTTCGTATACCGCAAAAGATTGAAAATCATGTTGTTACCTTTTGCTCCTTTGTTATTGTTGTTCTGGAGATATTTTTTAAATATTTTTTTGTAAGGGTTACGTTTTTCGATGGGTTAAAATATTTTTATGGAGTTGTTGATTTTTTGAATGTTTAAAATAGATACTGTGAGTAAAATCATTGAGTGTGTGAAGACAAATCAAATGTAACGGATTGCGAGTACAAAAATGGTCTATTCAATTTTTTTTTGCTAAGTGATGAAGCATAATAATCCACAACAATTCTTCCATTAAAAAATATTATTTATACACAATCTGTACAAATATTTTCCAATCAAAGTCTTTGAAACTAATTACAAAATTCTCTAACTACTTGAAATTAAACCTCCAATCCCTGTCTACAAATAATTAATAAATTTTCACAATTGTTCCCCTACCCCTTAGGGCATTTTCCGTTTGGTCGGTTCTTCATGGACCCGCACCTGGAGTGAAGACCTGGGCCCGCACTTCCACACATTTCCATCCTTATCCAAAATACTAGCACTGGCAGTGACTTGAAACTGATTAGCCCCCGAGCTGTTTCCCCCTCCAGTGGTTGAGCTTCCAGCACATCCAGAGTTTCCAGTTACCCCAGAGTTTCCCAAAGACAGTAAGAACTCACAGGCAAAGAAATCCCTATGAGGGATAACAGTCTGCTGGAGCTCATTGCCACCATTCGATGCCTCCCCATTGTTCCTGTATTCTGAATTAATCTTGGAAGGTGGACTCGTGGAAATGGAGATGCAAACAGCAGCCACAGATCTGAATAAAGAGGCCTTCTTCCCATGCCTGAGGACTCCCTCGATTTTAAGAGCAAGCTGAGACCCTTGGGGCACACAGACAGGCTCTCCAAGGACCCTGGGCTGCGGTGAGACCGAGAGTTTGACAACAGTTGCCTGTAGTGCCTGGAAGAAATACCTGGGCATTGGCAGTCTCACCTTCCCTCCAGCCAGCAGAACAACCTGGGAAATAAGTGCCTCCACACTGGGATGAGTGATAACCTGGAGCTCCTCACCCTGATTATTTGGTGCCAGTCTCCTCACCTCTGTGCAACATTTGGCCAACTGCCTCATCTCCACAGACTCCCCAAAAGAAAACTCAAAAGTCTCATTAGACCTGTGGTAAGCACTGGCATTAGAGCTCATGCAAACCCTCTCCACCGAATTGGCCATCACTCGGCACACTTCTTGCAGTGCTTTGATATTATTCAAACTTCCCTGATCTGCATCAAAAGCAGACTGATAAAGCTTCTGATAATTCTCCGCGCAATTTCTAAAGTCCTTAGCTGACTTTCTAAGCTGATAAGTCACTCGTCCATAAACCTGTAGTTTATCACTCGTCACTTCAGCAATTGATCTCGCAATGGCAGGTGGCGGAGAGGTGCACAGTGACCTACAGGAGTGAATCAATTGAGCTAATGCTTGCAGAAACTCACCCCGGAGTTTGGCGTACTCACTAGCGAACTGTAAACTCTTGAGGGGAGTACTTGCGGCTTTTAGTGCAGCACAGGCACTCGCATATCTCGATATTCCACCATTCAACTTCTCGAGAACACTGATTTTCCTCTGGATCCTCGATTCGGTTTTATTCTCCTCGAGATAAGACTCAGCACTTGTCATCAACTCGAGACCTGACAGCCAGAAGTGCAGCTGCTCTGAGGCCACGGACTCTCGTAGACCTTTGAAAATTTTCGTAGCTATTTTGTGATGCCCATATCTCGCTGCACCCCTTCCGATTCGATACTTGGACCATCCGTCCACAGCTTTTGTCACATTGTCGATGGCCTTGAGACACTCGTCATTCCACTCGTACCCTCCAGCCACCATTTGAAAGAGAATTGTACATAGCATCACTCTAGTGTCAACGTCCAGCGGTTGCTTTATTTTCTCCAGGACATCTGGTAGAAGAGGCAGGAGAACATTATCTCCAAAGCTACCAATAGCCCCTAGAGCTTCACACAAGACACTCGCTGTCTGTTTTCTCTCACCTCTGCCTGAATCCGACTGTGTGTTCATCAGAGTCGTTCCAATGGCATCGACGAAGATCGGTGCATGAGCAGGATGTGCTTGACACAATTTTACAGTAGATACCAAGCACAATTTCAATTGGTAGAGATTTCTGTCGTCATTGGCATCAACTGCTAGGAGAACAATCAACGACTCCAGACAGGAGATTATGTGCTGGATGTTGCTGACAGGTAGTCCCTCTTCGTAGCAGTAGCAGGCAATTCTTGTTAAAATAGTCACGGCCTTGACAGCAACCAGAGGATTGTGGGAATAGCAGGCATCAACGCAGAGAGATGCCAGGGGACTGTTCTCCTCCATGTTGGCGTCACAGGTGACAGCACTCTGGCTGAGTACTTCGATAACATCTAGGGTTCTGAGGAGGAGATCACTGCTCTCAATTCCATTCTCTGTTATCGAGAGCTTTGAGGCTAGGGTGGAGTCGATGAGATTGTCGAGGGCTCCACGAGGCCACAGGTGGGCTCCTCTCCTGGCGAGATGGAGCAGTAATTTGAGGGAGTGACGTTTCACTGAAATTCTTGGATCATCACGGATATAAGTGAGAAGAAGGCCGACTTGTGTGGGAACATTGATGAGAGTTGCTGATGCTAGGGTGCTCATAGCACTCAGAGTCACACGAACAAATTCCACTGCTGGATAACTTGCCAGGAGCTCCATGCACAACTCGTTGACCATTGAGGCTGTTGAGGTGTCGTGGTGCATATACTGGAGGATTGGTATCAGCTGGAGCTTCATCGAGGCTGGGGTCGCTTGACCCCTGATCATGTCTGAAATTTTACTGCACATTGAGACTGCGAAGAGTTTTGATTGAGCTGCAAACATTCTGGCTGCGTAGATGGCAGCTTCTACCTCCACTGAGTCATGAGAGTCCAGGGAACGTCTGATACTGTGGTGAACCTGTTGACGTTCAGGGATAATCGAAGCTGCAGAGCCCAGCGTGCGCAGGGTCAGAGCTCGGGCTACTGGATCGTTCGAATGCATCACGCAGTAGATTCGTTTTACGAACTCCTCGACGTTCAAGATTTTGTCCAGATGTTTTTCACTCTGCTGGCAGACACGAAGTACCCACACCCTCAGGAAGTTTGAGCCCAGACGGAAGACATCCGCGAGCTTCAGCAGGGCTGAATTTATAAGGATGGGGAAAGGGTACTTCTCGAAGAGACGGGGAAAGCGCACGATCGCTTCGCATCGTTCTCCGGTGTTTTTCGATCGGAGACCTAAAATGCCATAATAACAAAAATAATAATAATTAATAGAACTGTAAAAGGCGTAACGCCATACAGCGGAAATTTGGAAATAAAATCTTGAATCTTGAATCAATAATCAATAGATAAATAATTGATATCTCGAATTTCGACAAAAATTTATATTTTGAAAATATATAAAATCCATACAATATCATATATAATTTTTATATATTTTCGGAGAGGCATAAACTCTAAAAAGAGTACGACATTTAGAACGAATAAATGAAGGACTGAAGAGAGAAATTTCGGAGTAAATTCGAGAGTGGATATAGGTTAATTATTTGTTGACATGTGTACCCTTGTCCAGTTCGATGAGAGCTGAATTAGCATCTTGCTCCGGCTCACCAGATCCAATTTCATTGAAAGTATTCATCCTCACGACTCCATCAATTTCTCATTCTCCCCAATAAAATCTCTAATTATCCAAAGTATAATAATTAGAATAGAAATAAAGCACAGTACATCGGTTCGGGGTGAAAGTCTTGGAGAAAAAATCGGTGTGGAAAAGTGGCGTTTTTTGGTGCAGAGTGCGCCAGGTGCTCATACACAAGTGGGTAAGGAAGACAAGACACAAGTAGTCGGCTTGATGAAGTTTGTAAACACAAAAACACGTTGAAAAATCCACTACAGAGTGTATAAAAATTGTTTATAATGTGAAAATGTGACTGAGACTGAATCCAGCGAGTTATTGGAGATAATTTTAATATTTTTTATCACTGAATAATCCAGGGACTTGTGAATCGAGTGGTGAAGGATTGAGCTGTCTCTATGAGGAGGCTTCCACTGAAGAAAACACGATATCGTGATGCCGATTTTACGTAGACTGTGGATTGCCATTATCTTGTGCTCTCTGGTGACGTTTAAGACTCCAGAGGCTAAGGACGATGGAATTGTCGAGTGTCAATTGGGTAGAGCTATTAGAAAACAGGTTAAACCCACGCCACTGGGTGGAATGTGCCTCAAGGACATCGTAGCAGCGCTATCGCAGGTCCTCAGATCGATTGGTAATGATGAGCTGGGGCTCACGGAGTTCCAGGAGATGATGGATAAATTGGATTTTGTCAGCATTCCTGATAAACCAGATGATGCATTGAGAACTCTTACTGACAGCATCAATGCAAAACTAGAGATTTTTCTCGATATTTTAGAGAAAAGTTTGAATCTTGTACTTCCAATACTCGAGGGAGATGCCTATCATGGAGATCAGGCTGGAATCAGACGGGATGACATCAGCCGTAGGGAGAAATCAGTGGATTTGTGTTCAGTTATTGAAAATGGTAATTTTTATTTAATAAATGAAGAGTAAAAATCAATATTGAACCTCTTCAATTGAAATATAGAATCTCAGATTAAATACTGAAATTGTAAAATCTTACACTCATTTTTTCACAGTCTTATGACATTTATCCCTTATTCTAAATTTTCATATTCCTCAGTGATAAATTTATTCTGTAAGCGAGTGATTTTCTGAGGAAATGTCAGGTCTTTCATAAAGCTGAGAAAAGTTCTCTGTGAAAATGTTCCTCTCTAGCCTATAATTTAAAAAACCTTATAAGTTCATTAGTGACCATGTACCGTGATTGAATCTGCTCACAGATCCCTTGTTCGTTGCCACATTAAAAAAAATTATCAAATTTCTTTCAGAGCTCGCAATGAAGTTAAAAACCTCCCGATGGAAGCATCTGCGCGTTCTCCCATTCCTCCACCGTCCAGGGGTTATTTGCGGCCAGGCAGGACCAGTCCGCAACATCGGCTCGTTATTTCTATCCCAGTGTGACAGACCGAAGAATGTAATCGTGCTAATGGAACATGGAACCTTTATGTCAGATGAAGACATATCACTAGCTCGTGCCACTGCCAAGACAATCGTTGACATGCTCTCAGACTCAGACTCCGTGACGATAATTGGTTTGGCAGGTCGAGGATTTGTCCATTGCAAAAATGGACTCGTGAAGTCAACGGATGTCAACAAATTTCAACTAATCCGACGAATCGATGCGACAATGAGAACAGACTCTAACGAGTCTCTTATATTAGACCTGGACAGACTCACACAAAACGTTTCAGGGAACGTTGTCGTTGTCCACGTGACCAATACCCTGAAAGATATCTCCAACGTGACAAAAATCGTGAAAACAATTTCTTCAAAGCACGTTACCGTTCACCTACGAACAGTCTTAATTCTCTCTAATTTGAAACCCCACGTTGCAGTGGAGGAAACATCAGTCAACTCCAGTATTATCACACTACCCACTCACAATATCCTGGGGTATGACATCGCGAGGCTATTCTCCAGCTTGGAGTGTCCCACCATTAACAAGAAGGATTACTACCTCTCAGACTCATACCTGGAGACCTATCCCTACGGAAAAATGATGACTCTCTCCATCAACAGAGTTTCCGAGACAGCCCTGGTGTCTCTCGACATCAAACTTCACGAGTTTGTCAATGAGATCACGTACTTCAACGCAGGATCCTTCACGCGGGGAATTTTATTCGATAAAAAAGGAATTGTCCTGATGCACAAGAGTTTCCCGAGGATTGAGAGCTTATCAGAGCAACCCCTCAAGGTTTACTTGAGAGATATCGAGAACGTGGACGAACGCGTTGTGATGGAGATGATAGAGCAGCCAACTGGACGGATGGGAGTGCTCAATAAATTAGGGATCAGTGTTACACTAAGATGGAAACATCTGAAGTATCTTGATCTTATCGTCTGTGTGGTAACCGAAGAGACTAATACCACCTCCTCCCGACCTGTGGCTAAATTTCTCCCCCAATTACCTGATAATCTTCTGCACCATCGATTGGACACTGTTTCTCAGAACTCTGTTGACTTGTGTAATTACAAGGGGCACATTCAGAGTCTCTCTCATGCGGTTGTTTATCTCTCCCAGTGGTCGTTAAAACCACCCCTTGGGGATGAAGGTAATCGGGTGACTCCCCAGAGTTACATGGCTTACATCAAAGACACCACAGGATTATTAGCGAATCCTGGATTGAGTTCATCGGTTAGGAAAGACGTAGCAACGATTTCTCAGATTCTTGGACATTTCAAAAAGAGACACGAAAAGAGTTCCTTTGGAAAATTCATCGTGAGAAGGTACGTGACAGCAGTTGAGTCTGGAGTGGTTGAGGTATACCCTGGAACATCTTTGGAGTCTGGATTTGATCCAAAGCGAAGGGTCTGGTACACAAAGGCCCTGGAGCATCCAGGTAAAATCGTTCTTTCAGGGCCCTATCTGGATGCTGCTGGGGCTGGTTACGTTCTGACCTTGAGCCAAACCATCTTCGAGGGTCGACGAGCTGCCCTTCATACTCAGGGTGATCCTGTCGTTGCCATTGCCTCAATGGATATCACCATGGGATACATGGCTAAGGTCATCAAGGACATGTTGGAGTTCTGCAATGAGTCCACTATCAAGTGTTTTTTGATGGACGACAGAGGATATCTAGTCTCCCATCCAGCGCTCTTCGAGCCTGGAACTCCAAAACTCCTTCAACAACAGCACTTAACTCGTCAGGAACTTCTAGTCTCCACTGACATTCTCAATCACGAGATGTCCGTCAAGAAGAAGGTCTGCGTTAATCATTTGGATGGAACTGTCCAGAGGTACTATCAATTCAACACCTCTTTGGATCACGTTCTGACAAATATAATTCATGGAGAGCATTGTGTTAAGTATCAGATGGCAGCGATTCCAGGGACTAATCTTTTCTTTGGAGTTGTCAATGAAACTTGTGCACTAGAGGCATTTTGTCCCTGCAGTACAATGGACAGAACATGCCTTAACTGCTATAGGATGGAGCAGACTGAGTGTGAATGTCCCTGTGAGTGCTCTCTGTATGCAGAGGGCTGCCAACGAGCAAATACCAGCAGTAGCTTGGAGCCTTGTATGCCAGCTTTCGAGCAAGGAACCTCCAGGAACGAACCCACTGCCTCTAACTGGGGAAGATCATCCTTGTATGTTCAACAGTTGGGTATAGCCCAATGTCCAATGCCCGATTGCAAGACTTACGAAACAGAGAGTGACTGTTTGGGAATATTTGGTTGCCAATGGTGCTCCATTGATTCAGATGGAGAGTCTTCTCTGGCATCTCCATTCTGCTCAGATACTTATCTTTGTTTCAAGGGAGTTCTAGGATCATTATTCCCATATGCAGATGGTACTTATAATTCTCAGTCCATGGGGGATGTCACTGGCAAGGAGTGGCCATCAGTTGGACCTGTCGCTGGTGGAATTCTCGCTGTTGTTCTGATTTTTGGAATCAGTTTATTCTGCTATCGGCTTCACAGTGTTCAGACTGGTCTCGAGCATCAGTGCCTTCATCTTCATGGATCTCCAGATACTTTGAGAATGACTCATCTTGATTTGGGACTGGGAGGGGGTGGAAGTGGGAGGGATCCAGAGCCCGTTGAGTTGGACCGACCGAAAAATCATCTGGAGGCATTGCTGCTGGAGAATGGACCGCCCGTTTCTCCGTACAGGGTGTCAACCAATTATAGGAGGCCTGCTGGAGGTGACAGTGATCATGGATATAGCACTATGACCCCTCATGATGATAATGAGCAGCAGTCCTTTGCAGAACCACTCTTACTTGTTGGGGGTGGTAATGAACCGGAGTCGGTCAGAAGATCGATCGTATCATCGCCGAGTCCAATCACCTGCCTCGAGTCTCCTCATCGGGTACTCGCACCAGTCACCGTCCATCGGAATATGGAGACTAATTATTGTTAGGGTTTAAAAAATTCCCATTCATTCCCATTGAATCGTTCATTTATCTGTAGATCATTGATTACATGTGTTACTCGTTTCTCGGTGATGTCCCAAGTTGATATGCAATCTGCTATTTTTTTTATTGTGAATGGTAGTGATTTTATCGTTAAATTTATGGATAGTGTTTTTTTTTTAAATAGAATGAGGTTTAGAACGGGGAGGTCTTAGAACAAGTGCCAATGAACAATATTTATAAGATTATCAAATTTCGAACACAGACTGACGGAGAGGCGAAATTTTGTAAAATATTTTTTTAATACGCATACAGACACAATTTTTATAATAATTTTTTACTATGAAACATTTATCGAGAGTTTATAGGGATGGAGTTGTGGATGAAAATGTCGTAAACATTTCATTGTAATTTTTTACTTGATATAAAAAAATTGAGGTATTGACGTACAGATGGTTAATGGAATTATTATGTTTGCTATTTACTGTGGGGATTATAAAATCAGGGGAAGTTTATTGGTTGAGATGAATAAAATGTGATGAATGTATTGCACGAAGGTCATCACGTTTCAGGTGATTTTAAAACGTCTGAATGCTTCTCAAACCTCTCACGGTTGCTTAATATATCAATTAATATACCCGACCAACAACTGACATCTCAAACACACGTTACATTGTCGGTTAACTAAGTACTCTAATGTTGAGTGACGCATACAGAGCAGCTCCAAATTACGTGATACCGAATTTCGTGTGACGTAATGTGTGGAAAAAAATACCTGTGAACATCGATATTTCAATCGTGGGAATGCCAAATCCAATCTTTATGCAGAACAATGCACCCGAAAATTTCAGGTCACATGGGGGAGCGAAAAACGGCTTATAAAAAGTCGCAACGGGAGTTCCGACTGCTCAGTCGACTATTTTTTTTTTACAATACCTGGACACGTGCGAAAATGAGTATTGCTCAGGTATTTATTAGTAAATACTAGAATATCTGGATGTAATTACCATTCACTCTTAATTTATTCACTTGATTAATTAATGGTCATTAGTAAAATCATTAAATTCGTATTTCATTTGACGAATTCATTCACTGAATAAATAATAATCATTCCACGTAAATTGAATACATTTTTGTGTTTATGGATTTTATTAGTAAATAATAATTGTAAAACAGTCATTGTTAAAAATCTCTAATTTGCCTTAATTTTTGGTTACATAAACGTATTTTTTCTTTTCGCGAGCTTTTAAGGCTCGGATAGACTGTCTGGAAAAGATAATTTACTCCAAAATTGGGACTTCTAATTACTTCATCAATTAATCGTTTTTTCTGATAATTGTTAGCTAGTGGCCTAGTTGTTGACAACCACTAGAATGCTAGCTAACAATTATTGAAAAAAACGATTAATTGCCAAAGTAATTAGGAATCCGAATTTCGGAGTAAATTATCTTTTCTAGATAATCCACCCGAGCCTTAAGATATAGAAGTGGTTGAAAAATAGGGAAAAAAATCGCGTACATAGTCGACCATAAAGATTTTTCTCTAATTTCCCTTGACCTGCTATCGTAGTGTAATTCACCTATAACTATAAATAACGTTAAATTCTCGTTGGGAAATAACGGGAAATTTGATGAGGTCAATTATCAATGCTTATCCGACTGTGTAATGACTTTTTTTAATGAAAACTGCTAATGCACTGTCCATGAGATTTGATAATACTTTATTCCAACAATTTCTAAAACGAGAATGACTTCAATGAAAATGAAATGAATTGAATTTTCTGTTTAATTGGGCTTGACTGGTTCGAGCGAATTCCAATTAATCTGTCAACAACTGTTTTTCCATTGAATGATAGCAAGTTGAATTGGCAGGTCTGGATAATGCTGGTGATAGTGATCGGCTCGGTGGTATGTCTGTACAAACCAAGTGGATGGCGTCCGTCCGGAAAGAGCTTCAGGGCTCATGAAAGTGCTTATCAGTCCAATGATTATAATTATCGCATCGATAATTCGTACGGATCACCGACAGGTCCATCCGAACACGAGGACATCACAACAACGACAGAGAGAAATCGAGAAGCCACTACACCCTCCGATGAATCGCAAGAGGATTCGCAATCTAATCCAGCATTGGCAATAGCAAATTCCTTTGCATTCAACAGGCCTGTCTACGTCTACACCGGATTCCCATTGCAGCCAGCGTTCACCTATTTCAAATAAAAATTCTTCAGGTGTCAGAATTTTTAATAAATTCATTCGTATTATTTTATTCCGATTTTCACAATTCATCTCACTTTGTTCACTCTATTTATTTCATTAGTCCAGTGATTTTGGGATGCACTCCACTTTTTCGCAAGTTGTTGAAATCGAATTCCAGCAGAATCTCTTGTTCATTTACCACTGGTGGAGTTGCCCAATTTACAAGTGCGCGCCTAAGTAATATAACGAGATTTATGTTTGCGTTAAATTTACATGGAAAATTTTTATTGTGGAAACATTTTACGGCAGGACCACCAATGCATTGACGTTTTAGAAAACTTTTCAGTACGACTTTTATTTTTAGACATTATTGAAATTCTGTAGCGGTGTCGTAAAATAGGATAAGTGCATTTTTTAAGGGCAATTTTTAGTGAATATCTTGAGAGTGAAGGGAGATACCGTTTTTTTTTTCGTGGAATAAATTAAAAGAGGGATATGTCATGACAATGTCGATATTAATTGTTAGAAGAGAATTTTTAGTGGATATCCAAGCGAAATATTTCTGGAGGTATTTGAAGTCTAGAATGCTGCATTCAAGACTGCGCAACCATAAAATCTGCAAAATGGATTTTTTGGTGGAACAATGGGTCGGATAGAATGGAAAATATTAGAAGTTCTTTAAAATCTGAATTATGAGGTGAATCTTCGTCATGATTTATCCTGCACCAGGAATTTTGTAGTAGAAAAAACAGCTCACAAAGGAAATTATTTTACAAAAATAATGTAAAAATCTCATTCTCAAATTTAATTGTGGAGCACGACGTCTGTCTCATAAATATTCATGCCCCTCAGACTGACCAAGACCATAAATTTAAGAATCATTATTAATTCTATTGATTATCTTTATATTCATATCATGTAATTCATATCATGAGTCGATATAAGTCGATTTGAGTCGATATGCGTTAATTTGAGTCGATTATATAATTATATAAAATATGGATTTCAGATTTTGAATTTGATTCACTCCAATTATCAATCTGAATGATTAATAATAATAAAAATAATATTCAATACCTGAGAGTTGCACAGATACACATTTGAATACAAAACAAAGAGAAAAAAAAGTGAAAAGATGAGAAGAATTGTCGACATATCGCGTACTGAGAAGTGGTGCTTTGACCCCGTACAAGTGGCCAACACCACCTCGTGTGCACTAATCATTATTTCTAGCAAGTACCGCACGTGAGGGGACTCAACTACTGGTACTTACTCCATGCCGGTGCCACGCAAAGAAAGTATATCCGAGTAAAGGGTACATACGAATTTTTCTCCTCCCCCCCTCCTTGTGACTCCCCTCACCACCCACTCACCACCCCTCGTGCCACCCGCTCACCCCCTCCATCCCCTTTGCTCTCCACCCCGTTAGATTTATTATTCCATACCGTACCGGGATATGAGTTGCGAGGAAATTCAATCCTCACGCGCAGAGTTGTAATCGTAGTGGATAAATTTGTGACGCTTTTTTGTAACCGAGCTGTGGCATTTTCTTCTGTCCTGGGAATTCCCGAAGTTTTCCCCAGATTCATCAACCTCTGGAAATTCTTCTGAACTAGCATCTCCGTTGGATTGGAGTTTTCCGTCTCCCGGGTGATGTTTTTGCGTCAGGTGGCCCGCAATCAATCCACCGATGAAAACCTGTTGTTATTTATATTATTGTTTATATTATTGTTTAATTCACTGGGTTCAATATCTTTGATAGTTTATGATCACGACGGCAAAACCAATTTGACTTCACACTTTTTGAAAATTTTAATCGTTATTTTAGTTGAATTTTCAATTATGCAAGTTTGAATTTAATTAATTAAATTTTTAATTCGGGTTTAAAAGGAAAGAGCATTAGGATTTTTATTTTAAATGATAATTAATTTTTAGACTCATCCCCTAATCGAATAAATTTCAGAATTGTTTGCCGGAAAATAATACTGTTCATTCATAAACTCCATCAATTTATTCTCTAAAATTAATTATTTCTTTTCATTCTCTCCAGCTGTAAGATGTAAATCAGAAATTCGATATTCTAGGAAGAAAAATTCTTGAACTTATTTCTCTCTCTGCATATTTCCTCAAAAAATATAAAACCCACTTGTACTTTTCAAACAAGTAAACGTAATTAGTCTTTTTGCTCCAGTGAATCTAATTGGAACAATAAAAATATGATAACTGAGAGAACCGTCTCGGTTAGTTGATGTTAAGTTGATTACTAAACAAAGAATAAAAAATGAGATTACCTTTGCTGGATGGGGTACGCAGACCGTGAGGAGCTCGAGGTTGCAGATTTGTTTCATCATGAACTTTTGCGAAATGCCCGATCATTTCCGGTTATTTTTCTAAGTGAACAGTGAGTGGTTGAGTAAATAAACAATTTGGTAGTGAAATCGGCAAATGAAACAACTCCAGGACGATTTTTTATAGATATATCTTAAAAGCTACGAACAATTTTCCAGATAAAATTCAAAATTAAAAAGATAAAATTGATTTGTCATTAGAATTGTATGAAAATCACTTTGAAATTTCTTATCATTATTAAAAATCAATTAATTAATTAATATTTTTTAAACAATTCGCAATTCACGTGTAATTAAGAAACTTCACTTCAATCTTTAGTAAAAATTGCTTAATGATAAATTAAATAAAAAATTTATGTCCGCGCAATTAATATCCGTTATGAAATAAATAGTGTCCCTAGAATTCTAAGATATTGTTTAAATGATTTCGAATCCCGACAAACATAAGTCCGATGAGATTGTTAAAAATTTAAATATCGTTAAATATTCTAGGACCCTGTCGTAAACTGAACTTGGAATTTTTATGAGCAGTTTCGCAGCACGATGGAGCTTTATAAAAGAGCGATTGCATGAACAAGGATAGTTTACTTAAGCTCATGTTTTGTTTCTGAATGAAAATGTGTTTTACAAATAAAAATGTGGTGAATCCACTGAAATGTGGAATTTTCAATCTATTGTATCTCTCGATATCATTCAAGCCACGAAACGAGGACGGTGGCATCATAATTACCATAATTACTCTAATTAAATTCTGATTTCGAGGGTTTCAGTTGTGAAATCCAATTTGAACCATCGGATTTCCGGACTCATCGTGATAGAAATTCCGAGCTAATTATTTGTTCACCTTAGGTAGATAATCCCAGGATCATTTCTCTCAGAGGAACATTAAAAATTTTTCCACAAAAAACGTTTAGCCACGAATTCCATATATTATTTTTAAAAACTCCTACCTTTCATCTCTGCACAGATGATTTCACTGTAAATTTCCATAGTCCAAATAATAAATGAAAAAAATTTAAATATTCAAAATCATGCTGAAATTTTAAAATTCACGAGTAAATGGATCTGAAGTTGACAGGGATAAATGAAATATGATCGTCAATTGTGCAGTCTTGCGATAGCTTGAATATAATTTCATATAAATTGAGCCGCACATACATTCCACTTACACATAGAATATTTCATAAGCTTAATAAAATAACAATTATTTTTTAGTATAAAATATCTAGGGAAAACCATTCCTAGGGGATATCGAGGAGGTCAATATTTATATTCAATAAATCGAAATGGAAAGAAGGGTAAAAAATGTGGAGATCAATGATCACGCTGTATTTTTCCATCGCAGTGGTACGTTCAGGCAAATCAACACTTTTTTTATTTACCGATATGTACCAAGAGATGCATCTGCTGAATAACGCGTAATCCGATTGTTTTCCATTTTGTTTTTTTTTTTTCATATATTTGTTATTTTGCATTTTTATGTGATTAAGTTATCGATGTCAACGTTGCGTTATCCTGATATTTAACTGGATATGCCAGAAGATTTCCTTTGTCCCACGTGTGCAATTCCTGGAGCAGAGGCAAATGGTAATGAGGGAAATATTTGCATTTCGCATTTGAGGATGTAATAGAGCATATGAATGGAGATATGCGTTGCTAATTCTGCGAATATCTCGACAGTATGCAGTTTCGTTTGAAAATATTCGTTTGTTGCGGATAAAATTAATTCTCTGCGCAAAACGTAGAAATTGTCACGAGTAAATTTTCCTTGCTGAAGCATTTTATATGCCACAGCAGCTGGAAAATGATGGGTCATACGTTCATTGGTCTGATTTAAGAGAATTTTTTGACTCATTTCTATTGTAATTGGAACATCTACAGCCCAATCTCTATCGCATCCTCAAATCTTTTAATTATGGCGTAAAGTGGTGAAACGACATAAATCATTTCAACTTCATCGCGATTTTGTAATGAAAATCTCGGAATCTACACGCACAGAGAGATCTATTAAGAATGAACCTCTGACATTTAGTATTTGTGCGATGCATGAGCTTTTCAAGAATTTCCTTCAGAACAAAAAGTATTCAATACTCAATAAAAATGCTAATCTCTCCAGAAAAAATCCCACAGACTCCCATTTTCCCAAATCGAAAATATTATATTCCAAATAAATTATTGGAAGCTTGAGTTTTCATTGAATATCCGTGATGGTTTAATAGGATTTTATAAAATCACCCAGCGATAAAAGAAAGGTTGATTTCCACTTGGTCTTTCTCTCCATACGAATGAGGTAATAAAAATTTCCTGGTGACATTCCCTTATCATCCAGTCTGGCTTCATAAAAATGGTGTATAATAAAAAAAATAGACATCTTCTACAAAGGCATGATCTGGCATGATCTGGTGAAAATTGATTTATCCCATGGCACCACTTCACTCATAAACAAATACCATTGAAATGACAAACCTTCATCTTGTGATTATAGCGTATCATGGTGGTCTTGCGATATGGATTAGACAGTGATAAATCAACGTTGAGGATAGCATTTCTGTACAAATCCAGGGCTAAGCTGCAAGGACATCAGAACGACGAATAATATGAGATAATGGATTACCCCACAGCAAAACATAACAAACAACAGCAATTGTTAATGCAATTTCACGAAAGGTACATCTAGAGGGTGAATTACATCTGACACATAATCTACCTGATTTTCATCGCTGATTCTGTAACATTGTGCACCGGATATAGTACTCCACACGCAATGAACATTTCGCCAAATCTGTGGTGATCCAGGCTTATATTCCAAGCATACTGTGCTCTCATGTGCACAGCATCGACCTTCATAACGGCAGTATAATTCAGTGGTAAACCATACACCACCCACAAACCTAAGCGATTCGATCAACCAAAATTATTGCAACCAATTGGATGATTATTTGGTAATTATATCTTACCGTTTTCATCAACGTCAAAGTCAACAAAGCTGTTCTCATGGTCAGAGGAGTACAGGTAATTATCACCCCACACCGATAATCCAGGGAGAATGAGTTCTTTTGGTGAGTGGTGATAAGTGTTAGAGTGGGTTAAATCGAATTTGTAGATTGAGGGTCGAGACTCTGGATTGTAGAAGAATGAGCCGTTGTACACTACGTGGCCATTACCCTTTTTCAAATAATTTTTTTTCGATTTCAGTGAAAGATTGAATAACAATAAAGGAGAATTAAATGAAATATCATTGTGCGAAAAAGTCAATGGAATAATGAAATAATTCTGAATGAATTCTGAATGACTTCTAAATGAATTCTAAATGAATTCACCTTAAATCTATATGGAAGTTTGTGAGGGGTTGGTCTCGAGTTCTTAACACTTTCCCTTCGATTGTACTCATAGAGATAAGAGGTATCATTGCTCCTGGTGACCCAGAGTTTGATGTTATCAGTGTTGTTCTCTGTTTTTGCGAGGGTGTCATACATCCAATATCCATGGGCATCATCAGTGGCTCCTTTATACACCGGTTTGCCAATTAAATCGAGCACTCCCTCTGGATCATTGGAAAAATCAATAAGACTGTGATAAAGTCAACGTACGATGAGGTGAATGAAATGCAATGGAGAGATGAAATGAATGATTTTATAGCAGACCTCCAGCCCTGGGGGGCAGTCCTGTGTAAGTTATATTGCTGACGAGTCGTGTTATGTCGAAGCACCCACCAGAACCGGAATATCCGCACTTCACACTTGGACAGGATTCACATTTTTGCTGAGGTGGACAAAGATCGGATAAATCGATTTTTTCAGGGGCTGATGCACCGTACAGGACCTCATGACGTTCTCTGCCATCTGTATAGCCCATTCCAATTCTCCTTGTTCCCTCTGCAATTGTTTATCACCCCACAACATTACTATTCCCTCTTTTTCACTATTTCCCTCTTATTTCACTTCAAATATAGAATTAAAGGGGAAAAATCAGTGAAAATTGCGGAATCGCTTCGAATTACTGAAATTTTAGAAATTAACTTAGACTTATTAGCTTAATAATAACAATTTCCACTGATTTTATTAATTATTCTCTTTGATAGTATTATTTTACCACATTTTATTTACACGATTACCGAATGGGTAGGTAACTGGATATTTTGGGATTTTAGGGAAATGGAAATTGAAAAAATAATTGTCGGAAGTTGGGGAGAGGATTTTCCCGATTTTAATGTTAACTTTAGAGAGTTAATGATTGTGTCCTGCGGGAATAAACATTTTATAAATGCCTTATGTCAATTGAATGCTTTGAATTTATGGAATATCACATGTGATATTGGATTTTAAAAGCTCTCGGTACCGAGACAATTTGGATGTTTTTAAAGGTTTTTAGTCGTTTTAATGATGTGCTTGTACCTCGGAGGGGATTTGGCAGGCAACACTAATTGTAGAAGACCTTGTTTGCAGAGAATTACACTATAATAAAGATCTGTTGGCTTTTAGTTTCCAAGGCTCTCTCTGCTGGAGTAATCACGTAATTGTCAAAGGTTTCAAGAGAGGAATGATACAATCAACAATTAAATTTTTTTTTGTCAGAAATCGTGACAAAAAAATGCGCAATCCTTAAAATTTGTATTGGATTGTTATAAATTTTTAATTTTGATCCATAATTCATCGAATTTGACTGATTACATATATAATGTTCAATGGAGAATTTTCTCTAGAAGAAAATTATCCATTAAAATATGTTTGAAATGAAATAAATTTTTCGATTAAGATTTGCAGCTACAAAATTGTATAAATTAAACACGAGACATTTGTTTAGAAATATTTAATGAGTGCACGAAAAGAAAAATCGATTTCCCTCCATTAATCTCTTGTCATCCCATAAAGAAAAAGGTGGCGAATTCTCACGAAAAATCACGGAAGAACAAATACACTTTATCAATAAAATTTTTCATAGAAATCCAATACAATATATTGTGAATACACTGAGGTTTTTCATGAAATTTGCACGCGCGTCATCGCTTTTGTTTGGAAGTTTGTATGATCGATATTTTTGAATTTCCGAGACTGTGGGATTTATTTACCGAGATGCGTGCAATGGATTTCCACAAAGCTAATTAACAGCCCGAGCGAATATAGAGAGACCGGTATTTACTGAAAATTACGGAGCAACGATATTGCCGATTAATCTGCAAAATTCGATGAATAGTTTTCCTGATGAATGATCTTCCAACAAATTGCAAGTCAAGAAAAAAAAAATGTTTGCATTACAGAAATTACTTACGCTGCACCATTACTTTTCCCATGGTGACGTCAATGATATTCTTAGCTCCACAATGATAAGTTCCGTAATCTAATTCGCCGATTTTCGTAATGTTCAGTCGCATCTTGAACTGGGAATGAGAGATGCTGTGACTGGTGAACCAATAGATCGAGGGAGTGTGTGAAATATTACCTTGTACATGTCATGCTTGTCGTAAATTTCCATTCGATACTTGCTTGACGGATCGAGGATTTTACCACCATCCTTTTCCCACCAGGTCAATGGCTCAGGGAATGCCTCGACGTTGCACTCCAAAACTGCCATTGTATTGCCGTTAGCTTGAGATGTTGGCAGCACCCGGATTATTTCGTGACATATTCTGATGGCTGGGGGAACTGGAATGATAGATTCCAGGGAAAAAAATATATATATCATTTATGGTGGTCGTCTGAGGCCCGACAATTCATCTAATATTCATTAATATTAATTATAATTCATATAATAATGATTCAATTAATTCCAGACATGGTATTCAAAGGAATTAATTTCTGGAGACGTTCAAAAATTCTTTAAATTCATTCATTCATTTTAATTAAATCAGACTTCCTGATTTCCTGATTTCCTGATTTCCTGATTTCCTGATTTTCAGATTTTTAGATTTTCAAAATCCTAATCAATTGACACAAAACGCAGAATTAAAATTGAAGAACCCGACAATGGGATTGAAATTTTTGAACATTAATGCAAGGAAATTCTCTGAAATTCTCATTAAAGGGAAATATTTTTATTGAAAAAACCAGAGGACTCACACTGAACCTCGAGTCGGAATGTATGACGAGACTCTGGAGGGATACCATTGTTAGCAATGCATGTGTACTCCCCCATGTGTTCTCTATTGATCTTCGTGATGTTCCAGGTATCTCCAATCACCGATGAAACTGGAAATTGGAAGAATCATCAGAACGACGCGAAGTAAAATCGTACGGTTGGCTTTTTTTTTCATAAAAATCTGAAGAGCTGGTAATTAGCAGTAGAAGGTGTACCTCGTATGTTGAGTGAACTCTATTAAGCATAACAAGGATCAGAGGTATCGTCCACTCTCTCTGGAACCCTTCAGCCCATTCCACCCACCCAATTAACCACTTCAACGCGCACCGTTGAACGTCACATTCACGAATTCACTCTCGGAGTAACTCTGTTTTAATGTTTCTACTCTTGATGAAGTTTCCGTGTCAGGATGTTCAAATTTTAAACATGAAAAATGTGTGCTTTTAGGTAATTATCGCGTACTTACGGGGATTCGGTATATCTATGCAAAATCTGTCTGTTTCAACTACTACCAAAATTACGAAACATTATGTATCACAAACTATTCCCAACTTTCGGCTTTACCTATCTGGAGAGATGCCAAATATTTTACCCAACTTTTGCTGGTTTGAGTCTTTCCAATGAGTTATTGTTTTTTTTATATTTATCCTGAATTTAGTTTCTTACAATGAGTGTTCTCGTTTGTTCAAAATTACCGGCTTTCTCATTTTTATAACAAATTGTTGATCGGCTTTGAATTTAGGGAGCGAAATTCCAAAATTGTAATGGAATTGTAATTGCAATAATTATATTGTAATGACATAGACCTGCAGCACGGATCTGAGGCGAATAACATTTTTCCCGCCAATATGAAACTCCGTTTTTCATTACAACGCACGTGAACTGAAGTTTAATACACGCGCAGTGATGAAAATGTAATTCCTACAGGACATATTGCATTCTTTGCTAAAATTTTTTCACAAATTCCGATAATGATACCATAGACAATTCGATAATTAACAATTAGTGCCGAGCCCCTAAATACTGAATGAAAGAAAAAAACCACTCCGAAGTAATTACTCAAAAAATTTTACTCCAATGACATTTGATATTTAAATAAGACCTAATTTTTCGAATTCGTTAATAGATGAGTAAAAATAATATCTCCTAGGTTCACTTCCTAGTTCACTTGAAAAATAAAATGCGAACGAGTGATAAAAAATCCGTTAAAAATTCAGATTGATTCGAAAATTTTCCGTGAATTATCCACGAATTTGTCAAAAAAATTCACTCCAATGACATTTGATATTTAAATAAGACCTAATTTTTCGAATTCGTTAATAGATGAGTAAAAATAATATCTCGTAGTCTACGTGTAAAAAAAAATGCCTCGCCTTATCAGACACGAAGATAAATTATCCGGAGCGGTTCATAAATATGAAAAAGAGGAAATAAAATAGACAAAGTAGCCGATATTTCGCGGATTATCCAAGAATTCTGATTAAACCCCCATTCTTTACAACTCCTATTCTGCCATATTAAAGTAAATGTACGGTTTAATACCGTGCCATGGGCCCATTGGTATAGCAGCTCTCTCCTTGGACCATTGAACAACAGGGGGTGGATTTCCACTGGCTCCGCATTTCAATCGAAGATGTGAGCCCTCCCTCACCGCGATCAATGGCTTCGGCAAACCCTCCCCTGGAATATTTAAACGATAGGATTAAACCCATCTCCAGTCACACCTGTGCCCCTCCAGCACATATCGTTTCCCCTATTAGTCCAAGTGGGGCATTATTAAATCATGATGATTAATTAATTATCCCCCAAGTTACCGATGATAGACGGTGCTATCAGAAGTTCCGTTGACTTGCTGTCGTTTCTGCGCTTCACTTCCCAAGCTACCACACCAGGTATACCCGGCTTTCCATCCTGTCCTGGAGTTCCTGGACTTCCTCGCAGTCCCTGTGATCCTAATCAATTTTGTTAATTCATTAGTCAACATACTTTATTTCTGAGAGCACCGAATTTGGACGGGAAATCGTATTTGGGATTGATTTCTCTTTTGGAGATTAAATGTGAGTGATGAAAATAAAATGGTGGATGATAATTTAAAATGTTCATTCAATTACTGGAGATTAAGATTTGGATTATTAAGAAATTTCTTAGTAGTATCATCCAGCTTCTCTGGGTTTTAATGAAAAATGAATTTTCATTTGGCTCGATCTCTCTATTATTCTAGAGAATATTTCAGGTTTCCCAAGAGGCATGCACAATCGCCCTTTATTGTTTAACCCAAGGAGGTGCAATGTACACGTAGATCCCGTGTACCATGAGAATGTGGTCGTTACCTTCCAATCATCTCAGCGTTTAATCAACTACCGAGGCTTTATTAGCTCCTCCATCGTAATTGTTCTCCAGAAGGTGAAATTGAATCGCGTTACCTTTGTCGAATTAATTGTTTCATCAATCAACTCGCTTAATTAATCCAATGAAGAGTTTTCATAAATACATATAGATTTTCTTCATTCGCTTGAATTCCCTCGTTATCGAGATTCTATTTTATTTTACTGAGCTGCTGAGGAATTACACTTAAAACTTCAAATAAAAAAAAATTATGTAAAATCCTTCATTGACGAATCATTTAATTTATTCTATGTAACTCCAACAGTTATGGAGGATCGAGCGATAATTTTCCCACATTTTTAAATAATTTATTTATTGAAAGTTTTAATTATGGATCAGTGAAAAATTTAATGATTCTTCCTAATTGAAATTGCATTCGAACGCATTTGATCAAAAATTGAGAATTTCATTTAATTTTTAAGAACTCCTGGTCTTAGGCATTAATAGATAATAAATTAATAAAATACCTCGGGCAATATTTATTGGCTTACCCGGTGGCCCAATGGGTCCTTGTGGTCCTGGTGAGCCCTTAGCTCCTCGTTTACCTTGAAAAAAAAAATGATGACATAATTAGAAAACTTGGATCATAATTTTCTGATGTTTCAATTTTGTTGAGAAATAGGTTCCCATGAAAATTATCCTCGATGCAATTTCCCCCCGGATAATTTTATACTCTGTCATCGAGTTAATGATCCCTCGACGTGCCATCGAGGGGATATAACCCTGTGTACGTGAGCGTAACAAGTTTCCCCTGAGGGTTTGTATCACACCCGTGGTATTTCATCGAAACTTGAGGTGAGTATTCAACGGGAAAAGTCGTCTCATCACCGAACAATTCCAATACTTTCCAACTCCTAGAAAGGCAGATGATCGAGTGACTTAAACTATCGAGAAAGACAAAATTCTCATTATTTTCTCTCGCACTCTTCAAAAATTATTTCACTTCGCTCCTATATTTTTCACCCCATAAAAATATATATCCAATTAATTACTCATTTCATAATTATTCAATAATAATTAATATTCAATAATACCTTACTGATTACTTATTTCTGATAATTCTCCATAATCAACTTCACTTGAAAAATAAAATGCTAACGAGTGATAAAAAATCCGTTAAAAATTCAGATTGATTCGAAAATTTTCCGTGAATTATCCACGAATTTGTCTGTGCAATTTTCCACGGTAATCAAGCCTAACGTCTGACAAATTGAATCCGAAAGAGTGCCAAGACCAAAAGAAAAAAAAAATCAATGAAAGAAGATTGAAGATTCACTGAGACAGATCAAGAGGATTAGACACTCAATAATGCGTTGCAGATGGCTCCTTGTCGAAACTGCTAAAAGCCCGTTGAACGCGGCATCAAGCACAGGCTCAAGTACTCAAGTACTATATCTGTACTATCCCGAACTCAACGGATGAATACTCGTCTTCTCTACTTGGCTATTCCCCCACACATACGCCGTATATCTCTCGCTCAAGGGATGGTTCATCCCGTCGATCCATAATCCTCCTAAGCTTCCAAGATGAACAAAAATGAAAGAGAATGGCGAGGAAAATGTGGATAAAAAAAAAGACAACTTGGAGAAAATAAATCCGCGGCAAGACGTTTAATATACATTCTTTTTTCTTCAACTTGCACCAGAAAATTCATCACCATTTACTAAATATTATTTAACATTACGCATTTGATTTCTTTAATTGTCCTACAATATATTTTTATTCCTGTATTTTTTTATGAATTTCTAAAAAAAAATTGCTCTCTTTATAATAATTATTATTGTCAAGATTTTTCAGGCCACAGATTAGAACAATTTATTTTCAATTATTGGTTTACGGTAATTATTACCACTGGATTGAGTCGATGTAGCATGAGCTTTTTAAAAGTTCTTTTCTGTTCGGTATCTCTGTGTCCATTTCTTTTATTACCCAGAGACATTATGCCGTACCGTCATCCCCTTCTGTGCTCCTACCTCCTCATCATCTCCAACATCCCTAACGTCTCCCTTGCAGATGAAAGTGGATGACCTTCTTCTCTCTGTCGGTGTTTTATATTGTTCGTTTTTATTCCACTCTTTTATAACAATGAAAACCAGAGTAACGCTCCACTGTACAACGAACAAAAGACAGCCAAGTGTCCAGTGGATAGTGCAATTCCGTTTTCTTCTATTTCCACGAGTACTTGAGAATAGAATGAAAAATAGAGAAATGAACAGTTGTGTAACATACCGTCGGTGCCATTTCTCCCGGATAAACCGGGTGTACCATCACGACCTGGTTGTGCATCACGCCCAGGTGATCCGTCAGCACCATTTCTACCGGGCACCCCGTCGAGTCCTGGTTCACCAGGAATTCCATCTCTACCGTCGAGTCCGGTGGCTCCTGGCTCACCCCGTGGTCCACGCTCACCAGAATGCCCTGGCAAGCCTCGAGGACCCTCTGGACCCACTGGACCTGGAATACCCGGCAATCCTCGGTCTCCCATTAATCCGGGGAGACCTGGCGTCCCTGGGGATCCTGGGGGACAGTATTCCGCCGATTTTCTGCATAATGCATCCATTGCGTTGAACTGCAATCATCCCAAATATCAATTTTTCATTACTTTTACAACAATCCTATATTTCCCAGCTGGAGTTAAACTTCTCTTAAATAAATTATATTTTTTATCATTCTTCATTAAGGTGGTTGTCGCGCGACAGTCTCTGTAAAAAGTTTATCCGCTGTAAAACGGGCCAGTTTAGAACACAATGTTTTAGCGGTATATAGTCTCACTTGATTGATTGCATTGTGCATGGATAGCTAAAGCATAACTATATATTTTCCATATTAACTATTTTCAATTATATAAATTTATGAATTTTCGATAATTATATTCCGTAAACCAAACGGTCAATCGATTTGAT